CCAACCCCAACCCCAACCCCAACCCCAACCCCAACCCCAACCCCAACCCCAACCCCAACCCCAACCCCAACCCCAACCCCAACCCCAACCCCAACCCCAACCCCAACCCCAACCCCAACCCCAACCCCAACCCCAACCCCAACCCCAACCCCAACCCCAACCCCAACCCCAACCCCAACCCCAACCCCTATAAAAATATATAAATTATTCCTATCAATATTTACCAGTAAATATGCTTCTGTAAAATTTTTCAATTATAAAAAATTTAGAAAATTAATTGATTAACTAAAAATAAAAATAATCAAACTTTTAAATCTTTGAAGGGTTTATATTATTATATTATGTTCTATTGATGAAAAATATTCATTGATTCTTCCTCCTAGAAAATTCATTTAAATATTTTCAATTCGTTGTATATTTTTTTACTTTTTAATTTCAATCAAGTTCATAATAACATAATTAATTAATTAATTAACTAACTAATTTTTAATGTTTACTATTTAATAAATTTATTTTTGTAAAATAATTCTATTAAAATTTGATTTTTTTTGGCAGCCACATATATATTTTTTTTTAATAGCTAGTATTTTCATTAGTAAATATAAACTTAAAGATTAATCGATTATATTTTCACTCCAAAAAATTTCATAAAATAAACATCTCTTGTTTTCTTGATTAAAAAAGTAAATTTTACTATTAAATCAAAATTAATTTAAGGATCTATCTAGAAAGAGGTAGTTTAAAAATGAGTAAATTGCAAAATTTTTTAAATCAATTTTATATTTTGCTCTATGTAAATAAGAGTCATTTAGAAAATAAAAAATGTTTTAAGTATAATTAAAATGGTATTAACTATAAAGTTTATCAAATTAAAGCCTAACTGATTAATAATCTAAATCCAAAAATACAAAATACAAAGAAAATGAAAAGTATATTTCATCCATCATTCATAATTTGCTGAATAAATTAATTAAATAGAAATTCTCATTTTTTTAAATGTACTTTTTTAGTTGAAATTAAGTTAGTTAGATAGATAGATAGATAGATAGATAGATGGATAAAAAAAGAAGGATATATAAATGAATTTTGTTTATTATCTAAACATAATTATATAAAGTTTAACAATCAATTTAATGATTTTGTTCATTTAAAAATTTTGAGAAGAAAAGGAGGGTTTTGTTTAAATATATTTTTTATTAATTAATATAAAATAAAATAAACATTCAAATATTTTCATAAAAAATATTCATTTCATTAACAAAATTAGAACATTAAAAATCGTAACCTTTAAAAGCATTCATATTTTATTATTTATCAACTTTATGATTATTTATTTTTAAATTTAAATGTTAATTAGACTAATCTTTTAAATTATAAAAAAAATATCTATCATTATTTATTGAATGCCCTAAGTATAATTATGGAGAACATAATTTTCATTGGTGATAATCAGTATCAGCTTAGTTTTCAAGCAGATTTCTCTTCAATTCAATTGATAGATGTAAAATACTTATAAAATTATTCATTCTTAAATTTTTTTAAAATATAAAAGGAAAAGTACAGTATTTATCTAATCAAATAAAATATGTGTAAAGTTTAGTTATCAGATGGTAAATTTAGTATAATTAGCACTATTCAAAATGTTTATGAAAACATTTCTGACGTTATTGAATTTTATGAGGTTAATTTATTTTTTAAAATTATTATGAAATTTAATTTATTTTCATCCATCAATAACTTATTTATTTTCATCCATCAATAACTTATTTATTTTCATCCATCAATAACTTATTTATTTATTTTTTAATTAAATTGAAAAGTTGAATATTTATTTATTAAAACATAGATATCAGTTATATTTGTCTAAGTTATTAATTCAGATTAATTTCAATTTTATAATGCTTAGAATTTTAATTAGATTTAAATTGTTGGTGATTCGTTTGCATCCTTAACAAAAAATCATACATATTTCTAATATCTAGTAAATTTTTTAAATGCGGCTTATTAAATATATTTATTTTAAAATCTAAAATAAGAATTTTCTTTGGGTTTACAACTCCTATTACGAACTAAAATATAATCCTCAATAATGCAAAATATAAGTCAAAGCTACCATAGGAAGTATAGTTGATATCAACTTCAAATTCTTCAATGATTTTAGGTTTTATAAAGTAATTTAGTTTCTTTTTTTAAGCAAAAACTAAGATTGTATATAAATATTAATGCAAAGGTATTTACCTATTTTGTTAGAGACATATCATCAAGCTTAACGTATTTAAATTCTGTTTAAATAATGTATAACATGATTCCAGGTTGCTCTCAGTCTGGTTAGCTATTAAGCTGCTCTTCTTGTTAACCTTATTACTATTTAAAAAATGGGTAATGTGTACCTTCTTCTTCAGACCATTATTTTGTACAGTAATAAAAAAAACAATTTAATTTTTTAATAAAACTAATTATAGATTGAGCTTGGAGTATTTCAAATTTTTCTTTTTTTAAAAAACTTTACCTTTTCATTCAAAAATGAATAAATTATGTATTTCATTAAAGTTAAAAATTAAAAGACCAATTCAATTTATTTTTATTTTTGTAAAAGAGGATAAAACTGTTAAAAATGCGATTAAACATGCTTGACTTGTAAGGATGCATCTCCCTCTAGTTGTTTAACATGTATTCCTGGTAGATATTTACTGCAGCAAGATAACACATGTATCACTTGTGATTAAAATAGTGGATTTTTAATAAATGGTAGAAATTGCACTTGTTAAGATGGATATAGTTATCAAAATTCTAGTTGCTAAAAATTATACTTGGTCTATAAATCAGGATTCTCTACGGCTTTAATACAATAAATTTAATAATAAGTTAATATTTCAAGTAGGTCTTTATAAGCTACAACTACATTTTTAAGCTTTCTTTAAAATATCCTGTCTTAATCTAGCTTTGGGATAGCTATAAACGGTTTAACTTGTATGAAACTGAGCTATTTGATTCTATTAAATACTATTCTTCCAAATTAAATTTATGCTCCTTTGAATGAAATAAAAAGTAATCAAACAAAATTTTTAAATTTCATTAAATTAATTTTATTTATTTAAAAACTAATTTTTTTATGGTAAAATTTAAATAGACTAATGTCCTCTAAAATAGTACAAATTTTTAAATGTGTTTGAGCCAGCAATTAATTAAAATTAAACTTAGTTTTAGAATTAGAGATATTCTCAATAAGATATCTCCTTCAACATAATCTATACTTCGGGATAAGCTATTACTTTATCGTTTATTTGCCTTTTTACTTTAGCATTATTTTATTTTTTAATAGAAAAATGCTAAATTTAAAAGGTTTAATCTGCTTCTAAAATAATTTATGATAAATTAATATCAAGCTTTGCTTTTCAATTTTTGTAATTGGGTGGTTTATTTTTGGTTATAGGAATAAATTAATAAATAAAATAATTTTTCTTATAATTTGACAGCAATAGCATTGGGTTGCAAGTCACTTACGTAATTCTTTTTGTTAGCTTTGTCTTCTTAGTGTTTTAATAATAATATATATGCATTAATCGAGAAAAATTTCATTAGAATCTGATAAATTTTAATGAAATAACTAGAAAAAAAATCTAAAATGACACTATATCTGAATCAAGGCCCTGTAGAAATTTTATGATAATATACTTGATTTACGAATCTGTTTTTGTGCCTGCCTGTTTTATAACTTTCAGCGAATCTTGGATATCTGCAAGTATAGTTTCAATAATAATTTAATCAGCTTATTTTTGTATATTTATTTACTTGAAGCCCTTTCATTCTAAGTTGACTAATTTTTATTTTATTATTGATTCACTGTTATGGCTTTCTTTATTTGTTTAATATCTGATACTAAACATTGTAATTTCTAATTTTGATATCAATGAAAAAGCTTAATTTTTAGATAACCTAAGTTATTCATTTATAATCACATTTTAATTAATACTTTTTGAGCTTACTATTTACATGATTTTAAATCTAATTTCAGAGTTTTACTAATTCATAATTAAAAAGAAAAATAAAAACTAAGATTAACTTATGAGCGAAGATAAGTTACTAGGTAAAATCAGTAAAATAGAAATATCAGAATAAGTATTAGATTAAAATTTGTCCAAAATTTAATAATTAAGTTTGCAAAATTTTAATTACATAGGAATAACAAACTCTAAAAAATGAAATTAATAAAGTTCAGAATAATAAACTTTTGTATGAATGAATATTTATCTGTTTTATAAATAAATTTAAATTAAATATTTCTTTCTTGATATATAATTAAAATAAATATATAAATATAAGATAATAGATATTTTAAAAAATTTAAAATCATTTTTACTAAATATAAATATGAAATTAAGCAGACTGAATTTTTTTTTATAATAAAATATTTTATAAATTTTTAAATTAAAGTTAATGTAATTAATTACAATATTTTTTTCAATATTTACCCATCCCTACATAATTCCAATAAAATTTAAATAGAAATATTAAGATTTAATAATTAATTTTGCACTATTTTTATCCAAATAAATTTCTAAGAAAAGTAAATTTACTTTTTAAATTTTACAATTTATTAAACTTTCATAGATTTTTAATCAATATTTCTAAAGAAAAATAAAATAAATGAATTAAGAAAAAAAATATTTCCACAATTTAGAAGAAGTAATTTTTTATTTTTGTATGAGCATTATTTAAATTTATTTTTATTAACAAAAAAGTTTTTAAACTCTTCACTTTAATCTCATTAGGCTCTCTTTATAACTCTGTTCTATATTTATTCAATTTATTAATGTTTTTTTATATTTAATTTTCAAGTTATTTAGAATATATTTTTCTCAAAGAAATTCTCATTAATAATCAAAAATTAATTTTGATTTATTGAAATATTTTTTAATTATTTTCAGTTCGACCCATAATCTTTATTATTAATTATATATTTATTTAATATAATTTGATCATTTTTCTTCACTTTTTCCTTTTAACTAACTCATTAATTGAATATATTTTTTAAAATATTTTAAATGTAGAAAATAATTTAGTGATGAAAATGCATCAGGCTTAGGTTCTGGTTTATCAAATTGCACTAATCTATCTAATTTGACACTTGATCTAAGGTAAAAGCAGTTTATTTATTTGTTTTGTTTGGATTGTTATATTTTTAATTTAAAAAATTAATTTAAAACAATTTGTACTTTTTTAAAAAAATTTATTTATTTATTAATAATTAATTTAATTTATTTTTATCTTTCTATTTAATTGTTTTTGTGTTTTTTTTCTTTCTCTGCTAATTTAACCCATTTTTACATTTTTAACTTTGAATTTAACTATTTCATATTTTTTCTTCAACATTTAAAAAGTTAGAATAAAATTAATGTTATTGGCGCATCAGGCTTAGGCTTTGCTTTAGCAAATTGCACTAATCTCCAAAATTTAACACTTAATCTTCAGTAAAAATAGTTTATTTGTTTTAGATTGTGATAAAAAAAAATGAATTTAAAACAAACAATATTGCTTTTTTAATTAATTTATTAGCTTTTTATTTTATTGATTTTTTTTTTTTCGATATTTGGAAAGTGGCAATTAAATTGGTGCAATTGGTACATTAGGTTTATGTTCTGCTTTAGCAAATTCCACTAATCTATCAAATTTGACACTCGATCTTAGGTAAAAACAGTTTATTTGTTTTGGATTTTAATATTTTTTAATGTAAATATAAATTTAAGACAAAAATTTTTTTAATTTATTTATTTATTAGCTTTTTATTTTTATTCTAATTATGTTTTTTCTTCTTCTTTCTTTGTAAATTTATATCATTAAAAAAAAATTTTTTTTGATTATTAATTAATTTGTTTCTTATTTATTATTTCATATTTTTCTTAATTTTTTCTTACTAACTAACTTTTGAATTATTTTTTTTTCTTCAATATTTAAAAAGTTAGAATAAAATTGCCGATGAAGGAGCATCGGGCTTAGGATGTACTTTAGTAAATTGCATTAATCTCTCAAATTTGACACTTTTACTCTCGTAAAAAGAGCTTATTTATTTTGGATTGTTGTGATGTTTTTGAGTATGAAAAAGAATTTAAAACAACTACCTCTTTTATTTATTTTTTTATATACTAGCTATTATTTGGTTTATTTTTATTTTTTTTTATGTTTATATTTTTTTACTTTCTTTGTTTATTTAACTCATATTTAATTCATCTTTTTTTATTTCATATTTTACTTCATTTTATCCTTCTAACTAACTAAATTACTAATTAATTAATTTTAACTTTTTCATCAATATTTAAAAAGGTGGAATGAAATTAGTGCAATTGGTGCATCAAGTTTAGGTTCTGCTTTAGCAAATTCCACTAATATCTCAAATTTGACACTTGAACTTCAGTAAAAATAGCTTATTTGTTCTTTGATTTTGATATTTTTTAATATAGAAATTAATTTAAAACAACATAGCTAACTCTTTTTATTTATTTATTTATTAGCTTTTTTACTTGATTTATTTTAATTTTTAATTCTGGTGTTTATTTCTTCTATCTTTGTTAATTTAACACCATTTTTCATTTAAAATATTTCTTTTATTATCAATTTATTATATTATTATTTCAGATTTTTTTCATTCTTACTAATTTTTTATTTTTTCTAATATCTAAAAAGGAACAATATAATAGGTCCAATTGGTGCTTCAGGCTTAGGTTCTAGTTTAGCAAATTACACTAATTTAACAAATTTGGCACTTGATCTTTAGTAAAAACAGTTTATTTGTTTTAAATAGTGCTATTTTTAAAATAAAAATGAATTTAAAACAATACAGCTGACTTTTTTAATTTATTTTTTTTATTTATTTAGATTTTATTTTTGATTCTTTGTTAATATAACTTATTTTTTCATTTGAAACTTTTATATTATTATTAATGAATTTGTTTCTTATTGTTTGATATTTTTTCATTACTTTATCCTTCCTTCTAACTATTTAGTTTATAATACTTCTTTTTTAATTATTTAAAAAGTAGAAATTAAATTGGTGACGAAGGTGCATCAGGTTTAGGTTCTGGTTTAGCAAATTGCACTAATCTCTCAAATTTGACACTTAAACTTGAGTAAAAACAATTTTATATTTGTATTGATAAAGATTTTTAAAAAAATAAATTTAAAACAAAATAACTCTTTTAATTAATTTACTAATATTTTATTTAATCTATTTTTCTTTTTGATTTTTATCCTGCTTCTGTTTTTTTTTTTGTTAATTTAACTCATACTTACATTTTCAACTTTTGCTTTTTAAATTATTTTCTTATTTTTGCTTCATTTTTTTCCTTCTAACAAATCAATTTAATATTTTTTCTTTTATATTTAAAAAGGTGGAATGATATTAGTGCTACTGGTGCATCTGGCTTAGGTTTTGCTTTATCAAATTGCACTAATCTCTTAAATTTAACACTTGATCTTCAGTAAAAACAGCAATTTAAAAAAAAATAAATTTAAAACAATATGGCAACTCTTTTAAAATATTTATTTGCTTTTATTTGATTTAATTTTATTTTCAATATTATTATGATTGTTTTTTTTCTTATTTATTAATTTAATTGATTTTTTTTACATTTTCAACTTATGCTTTGAATAATAATTAGTACATTCCTTATTATTTCATTTTTTTTTATTTTATTTTTCTTTTAGCTAGCTAACTAATTAAGTAATTATATATTTATTCTTCATTATTTAAAAAGGGAAAATGAAATTGGCGATGAAGGTATATTAGGCTTAAGTTCTGCCTTAGGAAATTGCAAATATCTCTCAAATTTGACACTTGATCTTAGGTAAAAACAGTTTATTTGTTTGGATTATTATATATTCGAAAATAAAAATGAATAGTATAACCAATAACTCATTTTTTAATTTTCAACTTTTTTTGATTATTAATGAATTCGCTTCTTATTATTTCATTTTTTTTCTTAATAATAAATTAATATTTTTCTTCAATATTAACAAAGATGGAATAAAATTAGTGCAATTGGTACATCAAGCTTAGAATTTGGTTTAGCAAATTGCAGTAATCTCTAAAATTTGACACTTGATCTTCGGTAAAAACAGTTTATTTGTTTTGAATTATGATACTTTTTAACATAAAAATGAATTTAAAGCAATATAATTTTCTAATTTTTTTATTTTATTTATCAAATTTTTACTTTTATAATTTTATTTTTATTTATTAATTTAAATATTTTATACTATTTAATTTTTTATACATCCTAAATTATATTAAAAGTGCAAATGAAATCGATAAATCATTATTACTGAAAGTTAAAAGATAATATCTTAAATAAAAAAGATTAGTTGTCTTTGAATTTTTCTAATGATGAAAAACAAGAAGTGAAATGATAATTAAATATAAATATATATATTTGAATAATAAAATTAAATATATTTTATTATATAATATTTTGTAATAGGAAAATTTAACTTAAAATATCGATCGATATATTTATTATTTTTATATTTCGTTTTGTTTAGGTGTGAATTGATATGAAATAGATTGATTATGATTGATGTTTATTGACGAGATCATTGATGATTAAAAACGATATTATTTTATATGTAATTAATTTTATAATATGTTTTTAAAAATGATATTAATTTTAAAAATTATTTTTTAGATATGGATAATTATGATAAAAAATTATTTTTTTACTTTTTTTCCTACCCCAGAAGTACACACATTTACAACTGAATTCATACACTTTTCTGTAGCCTCAAGTACCTTATAACAAAATGATAGAAATCCCTGTCTGCTTAGCTTTCTTCTATTTGTTCATGAAAATTATCAGGAATACCTCTTAGTATGAGTTTACGCTCATCTTTGCATTCTTCTTCCATTCTTTAGCACTTTTTTCCCTTACTTAATCTCTGAAGTTACTAAAAAAAGCTTTAAATTATTTGTACCATAACCTCGTTAACTCGCAACCCGCAAATACAAAAAATTTTTCGAGTTATTGAGGTGTAAATTTTTGGTAAGAATTAATTAACAAGTAAAAAGTTGATATGGATCTGTTCTCTTACAATCTAATATATAATTAATTATATGGTAATTATTCAATTTACTATTTATTATCATCTAAAATTAAAAAATATTTTTTCTTATAATATTCATAAGAAATTTTTTCAATCAAAATTTTATTAATTTTTATTATAAAGCCTTAATGAACAGTTTTATTTTTATTATTATTACACAAAAAAATACTATGAGCTTTCTAATAAACTGAAATGTTCCTAAATATTTAAAATGTTTTAAATATTTTATATTTATTGTAATTTTTATTTACCCTTTGCTTGTGTTTAAAAAATTTTGGTTTCCTATTATTAATAAATCTAATTTATAAATTTGATATTAAGCAAGCTTCATATTTAGGATACATTTATGTAATTTAATAAGATATAAAAAAATAATAGTGATTGATTATTAAAAGTGTTAATAGTTTTAGGTAAATACTGAAGACTGATTATAGAGAAATTAATTTATTTAAGTAAATTTAGTTTTTAAATTTTATTTTATTTAAAAAACTATTTATTAATATGAAGAGTTAATATTTATAATATAAAAATAATAATAAATCAATCTATATTTTAGATTAAATTCTCCTATTACAAAGTATTATAAAATAATACATATTATTTTCTATTATTCAAATTTTTTATATTTAATCATCATTTTTTCACCTCTTTCTTGTTTTTCATCATGAGAAAATTTTAAAAACAACTAATTTTTGTTGTTTAAGGCATTATTTTTATACTTCCAACAATAATGGTTTATTGTCTCCATTTGCACTTTAAATATTAATTAGAAAAAAAAAATTTAATATAAAAATTATATTTTAAATCTAAAGAAAAAAATTTAAAAAAAGTAAATCAAATAAATAAGTTAAAAGAGTTAGTTAGTTATTAAGTTTTAAATTCATTTTTATATTAAAAAATATCACAATCCAAAACAAATAAAGTGTTTTGTTTTTACCGGAGATCAAGTGTCAAATTAGAGAGATTAGAGCAGTTTGCTAAAGCAGAGCTTAATCCTGATGTACCAATTTCATCAATGTTATTCCACCTTTTACATATTTAAGAAAATATTAATTAATAAGTTAATCATAAGAAAAAATTGAAGAAAAAAATGAAATAATAAGAAACAAATTAATTAATAATCAAAACAAAAGTTGACAACAAAATGATGAGTTAAATTTACAAAGAAAGAAAAAAGATAAGCAGAATAAAAAAGAAATAAAATATCCAAAATAAACAAACTGTTTTTTACCTAAGATCAAGTTTCAAATTTGAAAGCTATGTGCAATTTTCTAAGGCAGAACCTAAGTAAGATGCACCTTCGCCGCCAATTCCATTTTATCTTTTTAAATATTGAAGAAAAAATATATAATTAATAACTTAGTTAGATGAAAAAGTGAAGAAAAAATATGAAATAATAAGAAATAAATGTATTAGTTAATTATAAAAGGAAAAGTTGAAAATGTAAAAATGAGTTAAATTAAAAAATAAAAAAAAAGCATAAGCAGAACAATAAAGAAAAATAAAAAATCTAATAAATAAAAAAAAAGATTTAGTTGTTTATATTGTTTTTTAAATTCATTTTTATATTAAAAAATCGCTATATTTACTGAAGATCAAGACTTAAACTTGAGAGATTATTGCAATTTACTAAAGCAGAACCTAAGCCTGATACTCCAGTTGCACCAATTTCATTCCACCTTTTTAAATATTAAAGAAAAAATATAGAGTTAATATGTTTGTTTGAAAGAAAAAAATGAAGCAAAGTTATGAGATAATAAGAAATGAGTTAACTAATTATTAAAAAAAGTAAAAATTGAAAATAAAAATATCAGTTAAATTAACATAGAAAGGAAAAAAAGCAGAATCAAAATTAAAAATAAAAAATTATAAATTCAAATAAAAAATTAGTAAATAATTAAAAGAGTTGTAATGATTAAAAATTGTTTTTTAAATATCTTTATTAATACAAATAAAGTATTTTTACTGAAGATTAAGTGCCAAATTTGAGAGATTAGTGCAGTTTGCTAAAGCAGAACCTAAGCCTGATATACCAACAGCACCAATTTTATTGTAACTTTTTAAATATTGAAGAAAAAATAAAGATTTTATTGTTAGTTAGAATGAAAAAAATGAAAGAAAAAAATATGAAATAATAAGAGATTATTTAATAAATAAATAATAAAAGCAAAAATTGAAAATAAAAAAGTGAATTAAATTATTAAACAAGAAAAATAAACATAAGCTGAGTAAAAATTTAAAAGAAGAGTAAATAAAAAGCTAATAAATAAATAAAAGAGATATCACAATCCAAAACAAATAAACTGTTTTTACTCAAGTTTAAGTGTCAAATTTGATAGATTAGCGCATTTTGCTAAAGCAGAACCTAAGCCTGATGCACCTTCATCACCAATTTAACTTCTACTTTTTAAATATTTAAAAAAATAAATATTATTAGCTAGTTAATTATCTAGAAGGAAAAAATTAAAAAAAAAATATCAAATAATAAGAAATGAATTTATTAGTAATAAAAGAAAAGTTAATAATAAAAAATATATTATATTAACAAATAAATAAAAAAACTCCATTATAAAAATAAAAATAAATCAAATAAATAAATAAATAAGCTAAAAGATTGAGTTTAATTGTTTTGAATTTATTATTATTTTAAAAAATAAATTTCACTATCAAAACCAAATAAACTGTTATTACTAAAGATCAAGTGTCAAATTTGATAATTTAGTGGAATTTGCTAAAGCAATTCCTAAACCTTATGCACCAATTGCACCTATCACATTGTTCCTTTTTAGATATTAATGAAAAAATATATAAAATTAATTAATTATTTAGAAGGAAAAAATAAAGAAAAAATATGAAATAATAAGAAATAAATTAATAAAAATAGCAAAAATTAGAAATTAAAAAATGAGATAAATTAACAAAGAAGAAAAAAAAACAAACTGGATAAAAAGAAAAATAAATCAATTAAAAAGCTAATAAATAAATAAATAAATTAAAAAAGTTAGTTTGCTATATTGCTTTAAATTCATTTTTATATAAAAAAATATAACAATCCAAAACAAAACAAATAAACTGTTTTTACTGAAGATCAAGTGTCAAGTTTGAGAGATTAATGCAATTTGATAAAGTAGAACCTAAACCAGATACCCCAATTGCTCCAATTTCATTCCACCTTTTTAAATATTAATGAAAAAAGATATCATTTATTAGTGTAAAAAAATTATTTTTTTCTAAAAATTTAATTTAATAATAGAATGACAGACAGACGGTATATGTTTTAAATTCATTTTAATATTAAAAAATCTCAAAATCCAAGCAAAAAAAATGTTTTTACTAGAGTGAAAGTGCCAAATTTGAGAGATTAATGCAATTTGCTAAAGCAGAACCTAAGTTTGGAGCACCTTCATCGCCAATTTTATTCTCACTTTTTAAATATAAAAGAAAAAAATAAATTATTTGTTTGTTTGTTACTTAGAAGGAAAAAATGAAGAAAAAATATGAAATAATAAGAAATTAATTAATTTATAATAAAATCAATTGTTAAAAATGAAAAAAATGAATTTAAATAACAAGAAAACAAAAAAAATAGTAGAATATAGAATAAAAATAAATTAAATAAAAGTTAATAAATAAATCAAAGAGTTAGTTATTATTTTTAAAATTCATTTATATATAAAAAAGTATTAAAATTGAAAACAAATAAACTGCTTATACCTAAGATCAAGTGTCAAATTTGATAGATTAGTGGAATTTGCTAAAGCAGAACCTAAACCTGATACACCTATTGCGCCAAGTTCATTGCTACTTTTTAAATATTGAAGAAAAAAAATATAATTATTATTTATTTAGAAAGAAAAATTGAAGAAAAAATGAAATTAATTAATTATAAACAATTAAAGCAAAAGTAAGTTGAAAAAGAAAAAATGACTAAATTTAAAAAAAAAAAAAATTGGATAAAAATAAAAACTATTAAAAAGATTAAAATAATTATATTGATTTAAATTAATTATTATATTAAAAAATATTAAAATTCAAAACAAATAAACTCTTTTTACCTAAGATCAAGTTTCAAATTTGATAGTTTAGTAGATTTTGCTAAAGCAGAGCATAAGTGTTATGCACCGTTTGCACCAATTTAATTGCCACTATTTAAATACGAAAAAAAATAAAATAAAATAAGAAGTTAATAAATAATTGAGTTATATTGTTTTAAATTCACTTTTTTTAAATATCATAATTAAAAGCAAATGAACTGATTTTACTGAAGATTAAGCCTCAAATGTGAGAGATTAGAGCAATTTGCTAAAGCAGAACCTAAGCTTGATGCCCCAACAGCACTAATTTTGTTTTAACTATATAAATATTGAAGAAAAAATATAGTTAATTTGAAGGAAAAAATGAAGATTAGATCCAAAGTTGGAAATATAAAAGTGAGTTAAATTAACAAAGAAAGAAAGAAAAGGATAAAGAGAATAAAATAGAAATAAAAATAAATTAATTTAAAGAGGATTTAAATTAATTTTAAAATTAAAAAATATCAAAATTAAAAACAAATAAAATATTTTTACTGAAGATCAAGTGTCAAATTTGAGAGATTAGTGCAATTTACTAAACCAGAACATAAGATTAATATATCTTCATCACCCATTTAAATTCTACTTTAAAATATTTAAAAAATTATAATAATTAATTATTTAGTTAGTTAGTTAGAAGGAAAAAATGAAGAAAAAATTAAAATAATTATTAATCAAAATTAATGGTGGAACTTGAAAAATAAATATAAAGAAACATAAAAAATAATAACTAACATAAATAAATTAAATAAAAATACCACAGAGTAATAAAGAGAGCCTAATGAGATTAAAGCGATGAGTTTAAAAACTTTTTTTTTAATAAAAATAAATTTAAAGAATGTTCATAAAAAAATAAATAATTACTTGTTCTAAATTGTGAAAATATTTTATCTCTTAATTCATTTATTTTTTTCAAAAATATTCAATAGTAATTTATGGAAATTTAATTAGTTGTAAATATAGTAAAAAGTTAATTTACTTTTACTTGAAATTTATTTGGATAAAAGAAGAAACAAATTATTATTATTATCAAATATGAATTTATAAATTTTTTTTTAGGAAGAGATATCAGAAAAAACTTAGTCCAACATTAATTATTAAATCTTAATATTTCTATTTAAAGCGTATACTTAAAAATATAGTAGGAATTAGGGATGGGTAGTCAGTCATATGTTAAAATAATTACAAAAATTAATTACATGAATTTTAAATATAAAATTAGAATAAAATATTAAGCTTAATTTTATTAACACTAATGTGTATAATAAATAAATCAAGGTTTTAAGTATATATAGAGAGTACTTATTCATAATAGATAAAATTGGAAAATGTTAAATAATTTTATAAGTTGCAAAGTCAAATCACAAACAAACAAACAACGACAATCGAAATAGAAAATTAATTTACCTTTTTGTTTATTTTTAAGATGGCAATATGAATAACAGCTTAACATAAGTTGGTTTTAGTAATCTTTGAAGACCAACCAACTTCTGACTTTTAGTTTAGATATATTTCGAAAAATACAAATCATGCTAGATTTGATAGCAAAAGAACTTTTAGTAATTTAATTTTCAAATAAAAAAAATCCTTCTGAAAAAACAGTTTTATACAATTAATATTATCTCTAAAGCATTCATCTCTATATACTATAGAAAATAAAAATATCACTTCTTGTTAAAGATTATGTTTGTGGTTCAATTTTAAACCTATTCCTAAGATTCAATAACCTACATAAATTCTGTTTAACTCAATTAAAGCTGTTTAATTAGCAAATTTAATTTGAACTAATGTATCTTACTGATTAAATGATTGAAGCATTTACTTCTACTTTTAATTAAGAATATAAACCTATCAAAAATAAAATACAACAACAAAATTTATAAGACATACTCAAATTGGAAATCTAGTAGGATAATCACACAATCATCATGCGCAAAAATTACAGCACCTGTACTTAAGAAGTATTTTTATTTTATATAAACATTCTATTGTACCTTAATTGTAATTATGGATTAGTTAAGTTATGCTCAACTATTTAAAATATCAAAGTAAGTTTAAATAAAAAATAATGTTAAATTAGTTTTTAACAATCTATAATGATAAATTAGTTTTATGAAAATAAATTTTATTATTTACTTTATTTTCGTTCTTGTTATAATAAGGGAAAAATAAAAAATTCAATAAAGGAAAGATTTTTTTTTTTTCACACATTCTATCGAGATATTTTATATAAATATCATATAATAAAATTGTATATCAAACCCTAGTATAGAATTTTTATAAAAAGGGCAAATATAATATTTGTATAAAAAGGTATGTTGCCCAGTTGTTTTAAACTTACCAAAATGTGATGATTTGAATAAGTCAAACAGCTGATAATTCATTGTGTAATTAAAATTAATATCAATATTAGAAGAAATATTAAAATATTATTGATGGAAATACTAATCATAAAGAGAATTAAAAAAAAAATATTATGAAGCTTAGCAATTCTAATTAATTATATATAAATAAAATGTTTTTAATTAAATAATATTTCAAAGGAAATTATTATAGATAATTTATTTAAATTTAAAAAATATCTTTTGCATTTAATATAACTAAATAAATTTTATATCTTTGCTTATATTTCTTTAATAAATGATCTACATATTTACAGGTCTGTCTGGTTTTTCTTCTAAGTTAAAAATAAAACTCAAAAATTAGTAATGTTTTTAAAAAATAAATACGTTTGTTTGCTTTATAAATGTTTTAAAACGGTATATTTATCTTGTAAATTCTTAATTTTAAGTAATTTTAATAAAAATATGAAATATAATTATAATTAAATAGAACTATTTAGAAAAAGTAAATTAAAAATTAAATAAATATTCATTAGAAAAGATTAGTTTTAATGTAAAAAATATTCATAAGCTTTTAATATCTAACAATTTTTAAAATTTATAAATTAAATAAATAAAGTAATTTATTTCAAATAAATGTTAGAATTTATATTTAATAATAAAACAGTTTTTTCAAACAAAAATAAGTAAATTTTTTTAATTAGAATAAATTAATATCTAAAAAATCCAATAAATATTATTCTCAAATAAATATTTGCAGATTAACAAGTCTATTAATTATAAGGAGTTTACTTCTGAATTTTTATTTATATACTTCACTTATTTTATTCCACCTTTAATTAAAACATTAAATAATATTTTTATTTATTTTTAAATATAAAAAATTTATTACTCAAGATACATAGTTAAAAATTATAGCTTTTTGTACTTAGTTAAGGCAGAGCTTAAGTTAGTTATTCCTTAATCTCTTATAAAATTAGATCTTTTTTTAATATATAAAATTTTATATATACTTAAAACCATTTACTTAAATAAAGAAAAAAAATTACGAAAAAAGAATAAACTGTAAATTAAAGCGCTTACAAATAAATAAAACTTTCAAAAACTAGAAATATTTTATTTCTTTAAATTATTTTGAGTTAACTCATTTAAAAAATAATAAATAACTAAAAAAATAAAAAAATTGTTTTTACTCAAGATAGAGAGTAAGGATTATTAGATTTTTGCAATTTTATAATGTAAAACCTAGATCTGACACCCCTTTATCTCCTATTTGATTACTTCTTTAATATTAAAGGAATAAATTATAAACTAAAAATAAAAATTAATAAGGTTTTGATTGAATTGAATTTAAAATAAACAAATACTATATTTATTTCCTCGTTTTCACGCATTCTTAAAATCAAATTTTTATTTTTTATATACTATCTAGAAATGAAACTTATTTAAAAAATTAAAAATATATTCATCAAAAAGTAAAAATGCATAATAAATATAATTTAATAAATAAATTGTTAATACTTGAGATATAATTCCAAGATTGAAAGATTATAGCAGTTTGATAAAGCTGAACCTATGTTTTAAGTACCCTCATCAGTAATTAAATTGTAGCTTTTAAATAATAGATTATTTTTTTAATTACATATTTAAAGGAAGAATCAAAATCTTTTTTATTTGTTAGTTTGTAGCATCAAAAAAAGGATATTTTTTATTTTATTGAAATTTGAGATTTGAGATTTAGAAATTGAATAATAATACTCCAAAAAATTTTTTGAATATATTTAATTATTTTTACTCAAGATGTAGCTTTAAAGTTGATAGATTCTTGCAATTTACTAAAGAAAAACATAAATTCGAAGCTCCTTAGTCACTAATTGAATTATCGCTTTTAAAGTATGGGATAAATAGACAAAAATATTTGAGTTTATATTAAAATTCAAATTCAAAAATATGTAAAATAAGCAAACCAGTTAACAAGATAAATATTCCTAAATAGTTTTTTATTAAGCATTAAATCAAATATTTAGGTTGATAATCAATGAAAATTCAATTAAACTATTGTTACTAAAGATTGAGTGTCAAATTTGAAAGATTTTTGCAAGTTATTAAAATAGAACATAAACTTGATACTCCAGCATCTCCAATAAAATTGTTTCTTTGTAAAAAGTTTAAAATTATTTTCTGTAGAATGTTAAATAAAATAAAAATAAATCTTAAAAAATATAATTTTTTGAGAAGATATTTAATTGTTTTATTCAAAAATTTACAATTTTATTACTGAAATATTTATGATAAGTATTTATTTGAATATAATAAATTAAAAGAAAATTAATACTCAAATAATAATTATTATTTACATAAGATCAATATCAAGTTCAGATACTAATATTTTAGAAGAGTTTAAAAGCTTTTTTATAGGCAAGAAAATTATCTAATTTTAATGAGAAGATAATATATCATTTACATCTTCCAAAGTGTCAAAATGATTTTCTTCTTAGATCATTTATTTTTAAATTGTATAATTTAAATTCAAATTTAAAACTTATTCTTTATAAATTTAAAGTAAACAAATTAATGAATGAATGAATGAATGACTTGGATTTATTTAAAAAATAAAAGTATAATTATAAAAATTATATTTACTCTCATACTTAAATTAATCTGGCTGGATTCTAAAACTCAATTATTTAAAACCTCGACTTTTATTATTTGGTTTAATTAATTATATAAATATAGCAAGATGCCTTACAAAAATTTAGTAATTTACATGCCACTTATTATGAAATAGATTTTTTATTTATTTATTAAAAATAAATCTGAATTTTATATTTTATAATAGAACAATAATTAATTAATAATTTAGTTTATTATAATTTCAATAATAAATAATATTTTTACATCTACATTTTTTAATTTAGCTAAATTTTTTGAAGTAAGTGGGGTAGGGTAGCAATAGTGATTAAGAATTTCTAAATTTTTTATTCATTCTAATAATATATTTACATCCAAAAATATGAACTATATTTATAAATATAAAATCAATAATAAAAACTATCTTTCTATTTATATTTTAGGTTAAATAAACTTTTTAAATTTATTACATAATAAAATATATAATATTATTCAAACATTTAATATGTATTCATCCTTTTTTTGCCACTATTTTATCATCAAAATACTTTTTTAAAGATAACTAATCTTTTTGATTTAAGACACTTACTTATTACTTCGAATTTTTATGATTCATTCATTGAGCTAAAAATTGAATAACAAATTAGTGTAAATTTTAAATAAATATCAAAATAAAATAAACTTTTTAATTAAAAATTATTTCTTAAATTAATAAATAAAATATATATGTGGAATAAAAAGATAAAAAAATAAATCAAATAAAAGCTATCAAATAAATTCAAAGAGCTTTTTTTTATATTCATTTTTATAGTTTAAAATATCAAAATCCAAAACAAATAAACTGTTTTTACCTAAGATTAAGTGTCAAATTTGAGAGATTAATGCAATTTGCTAAAGCAGAACCTAAGCCTGATGCACCCATTACACCAATTTAAGAAGGGCTAAGCGACTCGAGTGGGCGAGTCGGAGGGTCTTAGCAGTGATATCGGGGGTTCGAATCCTATACCGCCCCCTTTATTTCGAAAAATTCCATGTAAAAAATGTGAATGTTACCAGCGGTCTCCTTGGTAGGAGGGAAGGGCCAAATCTGATAGGTGGTAAAGAGGAGGCCCCATTCTGAACAGAAGATCTGGAATACAAATGGGAAGCGAGCATAATGCGTAGTCAAATCATGGAAGATTAGTAGAAATGCCATTAGGGTGTAGGTGACCCTTCCCTTCTAGTATATTACCCACAATTATATATAAATAAATTGGTATACGTATAATAATAATGTATAAGTAATTATATATAGGGCCCTATCCCGAGTGCATGTAACCATGTGCGAGTATGTATGTATGTATGTACACCAATTTAATTGTTACTTTTTAAATATTGAAGAAATAATATATCATTAAATAGTTAATTAGAAGGAAAAAATGAAGAAAAAATATCAAATAGTAAGATTAATTAATTAAAAATAAAAGCAAAAGTTGAAAATAAAATGATGAGTTAAATTAACAAAGAAAGAACAAAAAAAAGAAAGCACAATAAAAAGAAAAAGAAAAACGAGCTTTATTATTTTAATTAGTTTTATAATTAAAAATATCACAATCCAAAACAAATAAACTGTTTTTACCTAAGATTAAGTGTCAAATTTAAGATTTAAATGCAATTTGCTAAAGCAGAACCTAAGCCTGATGCACCTTCATCACCAATTTAATTGTTACTTTTTAAATTTTTAAATATTGAAGAAAAAATATATAATTAATTAGTTAATTAGAAGGAAAAAATGAAGATAAAATATGAAATAATAAGATAAATTAATTAAAAATAAAAGCAAAAGTTGAAAATAAAATGATGAGTTAAATAAACAAAGAAAGAACAAAAAAGAAAAATTAAAAAGAGCTTTATTTTTTTAATTAGTTTTTATAATTAAAAATATCATAAACCAAAACAAAAAAACTGTTTTTACCTAAGGTTAAGTGTCAAATTTTAGAGTTTAATGCAATTTGCTAACGCAGAACCTAAGCCTGATGCGCCCATTACACCAATTTAATTGTTACTTTTTAAATATTGAAGAAATAATATATCATTAAATAGTTTATTAGAAGGAAGAAATGAAGATAAAATATGAAATAATAAGATAAATTAATTAAAAATAAAAGCGAAAGTTGAAAATAAAATGATGAGTTAAATTAACAAAGAAAGAACAATAAAAAGAAAAAGAAAAAAGAGCTTTATTGTTTTTAATTAATTTTTATAATTAAAAATATCACAATCTAAAACAAATAAACTGTTTTTACCTAAGATTAAGTGTCAAATTTGAGAGATTAATGCAATTTGCTAAAGCAGAACATAAGCCTGATGCACCCATTACACCAATTTAATTGTAACTTTTTAAATATTGAAGAAAAAATATGAAATAATAAGATAAATTATTTAAAAATAAAAGCGAAAGTTGAAAATAAAATGATGAGTTAAATTAACAAAGAAAGAAAAATAAAAAGAAAATAGAGCTTTATTGTTTTTAATTAGTTTTATAATTAAAAATATATCACAATCCAAAACAAATAAACTGTTTTTACCCAAGGATAAGTTTCAAATTTGAGAGATTAATGCAATTTGCTAAAGCAGAACATAAGCCTGATGAACCCATTACACCAATTTAATTGTAACTTTTTAAATATTAAAAAAAAAAAAATCATTAAATAGTTAATTAGAAGTTAAAAATGAAGAAAAAATATGAAATAATAAGATAAATTAATTAAAAATAAAAGCGAAAGTTGAAAATAAAATGATGAGTTAAATTAACAAAGACAAAACAAAAAAAAGAAAGCACAATAAAAAGAAAAAGAAAAAAGAGCTTTATTGTTTTAATTAGTTTTATAATTAAAAATATCACAATCCAAAACAAATAAACTGTTTTTACTTAAGCTGAAGTTTCAAATTTGAGAGATTAATGCAATTTGCTAAAGCAGAGCCTAAGCCTGATGCACCTTCATCACCAATTTAATTTTTACTTTTTAAATATTGAAGAAATAATATATCATTAAATAGTTAATTAGAAGGAAAAAATGAAGATAAAATATGAAATAATAAGATAAATTAATTAAAAATAAAAGCAAAAGTTAAAAATAAAATGATGAGTTAAATTAACAAACAAAGAACAATAAAAAGAAAATATAGCTTTATTGTTTTTAATTATTTTTTATTATTAAAAATATCACAATCCATAACAATAAAATTGTTTTTACATAAGGTAAAGTGTCAAATTTGAGAGATTAATGCAATTTGCTAAAGCAGAACCTAAGCCTGATGCACCCATTACACCAATTTAATTGTTACTTTTTAAATATTAAAGTAAAAATATATCATTAAATAATTAATTAGAAGGAAGAAATGAAGAAAAAATATGAAATAATAAGATAAATTAATTAAAAATAAAAGCGAAAGTTGAAAATAAAATGATGAGTTAAATTAACAAACAAAGAACAATAAAAAGAAAAAGAAAAAAGGTTATTGTTTTTAATTAATTTTTATAATTAAAAATATCACAATCCAAAACAAATAAACTTTTTTTACATAAGGCAAAGTGCCAAATTTGATAGATTAATGCAATTTGCTAAAGCAGAACCTAAGCCTGATGCACCCATTACACCAATTTAATTGTTACTTTTTAAATATTAAAGTAAAAATATATCATTAAATAATTAATTAGAAGGAAAAAATGAAGAAAAAATATCAAATAAAAAGATAAATTAATTAAAAATAAATACAAAAGTTGAAAATAAAATGATGAGTTAAATTAACAATGAAATAACAATAAAAAGAAAAAGAAAAAAGAGGTTTATTGTTTTTAATTAGTTTTTATAATTAAAAATATCACAATCCAAAATAAATAAACTGTTTTTACCTCAGGTAAAGTGTCAAATTTGAGAGATTAATACAATTTGTTAAAGCAGAACCTAAGCCTGAGGCACCTTCATTACCAATTTTATTGTAACTTTTTAAATATTGAAGACAAAATATACCATTAAATAGTTAATTAGAAGGAAAAAATGAAGATAAATGAAAATAAAATGATGAGTTAAATTAACAAAGTAAGAACAAAAAAAAGAAAAACTAATAAGAGCTTTATTTTTTTAATTAATTTTTATAATTAAAAATATCACAAACCAAAACAAAAAAACTGTTTTTACCTAAGGTCAAGTGTCAAATTTGAGAGCTTAATGCAATTTGCTAAAGCAGAACCTAAGCCTGATGCACCTTCATCACCAATTTAATTTTCACTTTTTAAATATTGAAGACAAAATATATCATTAAATAGTTAATTTGAAGGAAAAAATGAAGAGAAAATATGAAATAATAAGATAAATTAATTAAAAATAAAAGCAAAAGTTGAAAATAAAATGATGAGTTAAATAAACAAATAAAGAATAAAAAAAGCAAGTACAATTAAAACAAAAACTAAATATATATTTATTGTTTTTAATTAGTTTTTATAATTAAAAATATCACAACCCAAAATAAAAAACTTTTTACTAAAGTATAAGTGTCAAGTTTGAGAGATTAATACAATTTGCTAAAGCAGAATATAAGTCTGATGCACGTTCATCGCCAAGTTAATTTTAACTTTTTAAATTTTGAAGAAAAAATTATTTCATTTTAATAGTTAATTAGGAAGGAAAAATGAAGAAAATTGAAGAAATAATAAGATTAATTAATAATTAGCAAAATTAACAAAAATGAAAAAAAGAAGAAATCACAATAAAAAGAAAAAGGAAAATAAATCAAATAAATTAAAAGAGCTTTAATGTTTTAAATTAACTTTTTTTATTAAAATATTACAATCTGAAACAAATAAACTGCTTTTATTAGGTGTAAGTTTTAACACAAAAAAATAAAGAATAAATATCAAATAATAAAAAATGAATAATAAATAATTAAAAATTAAATTGAAAATGAAGTTAACATACCTAAATTATTTTTTTTTTAATAAAAATCAATAAGTAATCATGATAATTTCTATAATAAAAATTATTTATTTAAATAAATTGAAAGTTAAATAAAAAAAATATTAATAAATAATAAAAATAATAAATATTAATTAATAAAATATACCTCAAATTAATTTGGAGAACCTAATGAGATAAAAGTGAAGAGTTTATAAACTTTTTTTATTAATAAATATAAATTTAAATGATATTAATAAAAAAATTAATAATTACTTCTTCTAATCTGTTGTAATATTTAATCTATTATATCATTTTTTTTTTCAAAAATATTTAATAGAAATTTATGGATTTTAATTAATTATAAATGGATGGATAAAAAGAATAAATAAAATATAATAATTAATTAATTTTCTAATATTAACTTATAAATTTGGTTTTATGAAGATATATCACATAAAAATTAATTTAATATTCATTATTTAATCTTAATATTTATATTTAAAGCATATACTTAAAATTATATATAGTAGGAATTAGAGATGAACTGTTAGTCATATTTGATAAAATTCTAGTAATTAAATAATGTTTTTAATTTTTAGTAAACACTTTAAAAATTGTTTTATCAATAATATGAAGTAGCATTTTAAAAATACCATAAATAATAGCAATTTATTTAAGATAATGAATAAATAGAAATATATAAAATAATATATAGAAATATTAGTTAATACAGATATCGATTTTCAAAATAAATAAATAATATTATTATGATAAAGGCTTAGTGAATAAGTAAAAAAAATATTGTTCATGCATGAAAATTATTAAATAGTATAATATAAAATAAACTTTTTTTGATATGAAATTAAAATAACTAATATTGTTTTTAGATTTTTTTAAGTAAATCAATAATTGAATTTATTTTTACCAAATTTTAATTTGAAAGCGAAATTTATTAATTGATCAAATTATATAGTTAGTTATCTAATTAATAATCCAAAAGATACTCTAATTAATATTAATAGGTTCTGGATATATTAATAGAAATATTAATTCTTATTTGATTAATTATTATAAGTTCATTCATTTTTGAGCTAAAAAATATGTAGAAGTTCTTTGTGAAATTAATAAATTTTTTTTGATATGAACTAATATTGTTTTTAAATTTTTTTAAGTAAATCAATAATTGAATTAAGTTTTACCAAATTTTAATTTGAATGAGAAATTTATTAATTGATCAAATCATATTGTTAGTTATCTAATTAATAATCCAAAAGATACTCCAATTAATATTAATAAATTCTGGGTATATTAATAGAAATATTAATTCTTATTTGATTAATCATAATAAGTTCATTAATTTTTGAACTAAAAAATATGTAGAAGTTCTTTGTGAAATTATTTATAGCGCTTGGCATAATTAAAACAATTTTCATGTAGAATCTAGTATAAATTGGGATCTCATATCTAATAATTTATATCAAAGTATTTTATTTTCTCTAATCGCTCCTATTAATTTATTTTTTCTATATCAAGGAAACAAATTCAATCATTTATAATTCTTCTGATACTAATTTAATTATGTACAGCACCTTGTCTCCTCAAGGTTACATTATAGCATCGTATGAATTAAAAATAAATATAAAACTTAATAACCCATCAAGATACGCTTTTAAGAATGTAAATTCTAATTTAAGAATGCTTTTTTTCAATCAAATATTTTAATATTTTAGAACATGATCTATTTAACGAAACCAGATAATAGCTTAACTTATTTTGTAATTAACATAAATGAAATGATTTAAGGTGGATAAAACTACGCTTAAGAGCTACCAAGACCTGCTTTATATTACCCCTGTACAAGTTATGTGATAATAAATATGGTATGTTAAAAATTATAATCTTAGTTCAATATATTGTAGGTGAATTTTGTTTTTACAAACGTTTATCAAATAATATTAGGAGGAAAATCTTTATTTAACTTGCTTTGATAATGGGAAGATTTTTGTAATAAAATCTTCTACCTTCGAAGGACTATTTTAGCAAATAGGTAATGTTGTTTACAAACCAAATCCATCTAGCTCTCTTTTAAGAGTGTATGGTTAATATTTCATAATTATGGAAAATATAATTTTCATTGATGATAATCAGTATCAGTATAGTTTTCAAGCAGATATCTCTTCTTTTCAATTGATAAATGTAAAATACTAAAAAATGAATGAATTCATTCTTATATTTTTTTAAATAAAAAATTATTAAAACATAAAAGGAAAAGTATAATATTTATCTGATAAATAAAAATATGTGCAAAGTTTAGTTATCAGAAGGCTAATTTAGTATAATTAGCTCTATTCAAAATGTTTATGAAAACTTTTCTGACGTTATTGAATTTTATGAGGTTAATTTATTTTAAATATTATTATAAATGAATGATAATTTATTTTACATCAATAACTTATTTATTTTTTCATTAAATTGTAAAGTTAAATTATTATTTTTTAAAACATAGATACCAGCTATTATCATCTAAATAATTAATTCAGATTAATTTCAAATTTATAATGTTTAGAATTTCAGTTAAATTCCAATTGTTGGCAATTCCTTTCCATCCTTAGATAAAAATCAAACATATTTTTAATATTTAGTAAATTTTTATAAGGTAGCTGATTAATAATTAATATTTTAAATATGAAATAAGAATTTTATTTATGTTAAGAACTCCTATTTTGAACTAAAGTATAATGCTCTATAATAAAATATATAAATAGAAGCTACCTTAGGGAGTTAAACATATATCAGCTTCTAATCCTACAATGATTTTAGATTTTATAATGTAATTTAGCTTCTTTTTTAAACAAAAGCTAAGATTCTTTACAAATAAATATTTATATAAAGGGATTTAGCTATTTAGTTATAGACTTATCAACTAATACTATTAATAAAAGGTTTCTATATCCTATTTAAAAAATATACAACAAGATACCAGGTTGCTCTCAGTCAGGTTAATTGTTAAGCTGCCCTTCTTGTTAGTCTTATTACTATTTATAAAACGGGTAGTGTGTACCTTCTTGTTCAGATCATTATTTTGTTCAGTAATAAAAAATAAAATAAAATTTTTTAATACAATCAATTCTAGATTGAGTTTGGAGTATTTCAAATTTTTCTTCAAATTTTCCATTCAAAATTAATAAACTATATATTTAATTTAAAGCTAAAATAAAAAAATTATAAAGGTGAATTAACATTTTTATATTTATTTTTAAAAGAGGTTAAAACTGTTAAAAATGCGATTAAACTTGCCTAACTTGTAAGGATGCATCTCCATCTAGTTGTTTAACATGTATTCATGGTAGATATTTATTGCAGTAAGATAACACATGTATCACTTGTGATTAAAATAGTGGATATTTAATAAATGGTAGAAATTGCACTTGCTAAGATGGATATAGTTATTATAATTCTAATTGCTAAAAATTATACTTGGTCTATAAATCAGGATTCACTACTGCTTTGATACAATAAATTTAATAATAAGTTAGTATTTCAAGTAAATCTTTATAAGCTACAACTACATTTTTAAGCTTTCTTTAAAATATCATGTCTTAATCTAGCTTTGGGATAGCTATAAACGGCTTAACTTGTATGAAACTGAGCTATTTGATTTTATTAAATACTATTCTGCCAAATTAAATTTATACTCCTTTGAATGAAATAAAAAGTAATCAAACAAAATTTTACTCTTTTTATTTTAATGAAAAAAAAATTAATTTTAAAATTTCTTTAATCAAGTTTTATTTATTTAAAACTTATTAATAATTTTTTAAAATTTAAAAAGACTAATGTCCTCTAAAATAGTATAGACTTTTAAATGTGTTTGAGCTTGTAATTAATTAAAATTAAACTCAGTTTTAAAATTAAAGATACTCTCAATAAGATATCTCCTTCAACATAATCTATACTTCAGGATAAGCTATTACTTTATCATTTATTTGCCTTTTTACTTTAGCATTATTTTATTTTTTAATAGAAAAATGCTAAATTTAAAAGGTTTAATCTGCTTCTAAAATAATTTATGATAAATTAATTTCAAGTTTTGCTATTCAATTTTTGTAATTGGGTGGCTTAATTTTGGTGATAGGAATAAATTAATAAATAAAGTAATTTTTCTTATAATTTGACAGTGATAGCATTGGGTTGCAAATCACTTACGTAATTCTTTTTATTAGCTTAGTCTTCTTAGTGTTTTAATAATAATATATATGCATTAATCGAAAAAATTGCCATTAGAATCTGAGCAATTTCAACGAAATAACTAGAAAAAAAATATAAAATGAGACTATCTCTGAATCAAGGCCCTGTAAAAATTTTATGATAATATACTTAATCTATGAATCCTTTTTTGTGCCTGTCTGCTTTATAACTTTCAGCGAATCTTGGATGTCTGCAAGTATAGTTTCGATAATAATTTAGTCAGCTTATTTATGTATATTTATTTACTTGAAGCCCTTTCATTCTAAGTTGACTAATTTTTATTTTATTATTGATTCACTATTGTGGCTTTCTTTATTCGTGTAGTATCTGATACTAAATATTGTAATTTCTAATTGTGATATCAATGAGAAAGCTTAATTTTTAGATAACCTAAGTTATTCCTTTATAATAACATTTTAATTAATACTCTTTGAGCTTACAATTTACATGATATTAAATCTAATTTCAGAGTTTTACTAATTCATTATTAGAAAGAAAAATAAAGACTAAGATTAACTTATGAACTAAGATAAGCTACTAGGTAGAATCAGTAAAATAGAAATATCAGAATATGTATTAGATTAGAATTTGAACAAAATTTAATAACTAAGTTTGCAAGATTTAAATTACATAAGAAAATAACAAATTGTAAAAAAATAAAAAAATAAAGTTCATCATAATAAACATTAGTATGAATGAATATTTATCTGTTTTATAAATAAATCTAAATTAAATATTTTATTTCTAGATATATTTTATTTAAAATTTAATAAAATAATAATATTTTTAAATAAATATTCTTAAAACATTTAATTAATTTTTTATAATTTGTTTTCCTCATAAGAAAAATAAAATGATTATTAAAAATAATTACAGTAGTTCTCATTAATTCTCACCAATATCCCCATAATATTTTTAAGCATAAAATGGTGTTAATTATTTATATAGATTATAAAAATAGAGAAGGTATTTCATGAATTAAAGAGCTTTTAAAGTATATTTAAATTAGTAAATCAAACAAAAGTGTCTATCTATTATTATGTTATCTAGTTTCAATTATGTTATCTAATTTCTTTTAATTAAATAATATTTTACATATATTGTGTCATAAATCTAAAATACTTATGTAATAATAATATACGTATATATGGAACAAGCTTACATAAATGAAAGTTATGAATCTTTATAATTTAATTTTTAATCTTAAGCTTTTTGAATAAAAGAAATTATTTTAATAATACAAAATAAATATTTTATGTTTGAAATTTAAAAGGGAGTGTATGAGCGAATTTATTTAAAATTTTATTAAGATCATAGATTTTTTATTTTTTATGATTAATTTTGAGATAAAAGGGTTTTATTGAGATAAAAGGGTTTTATAGATTTTTTCTCTTTGCGATTAATATCTTTCTTTAAATCAATTAAATTCTGAATTATTTTCAAATTGATTTATAAATTAATTAATTATTTAATTATAAATACATAAAGCAAAAAATAAATAAATAAAAAAAATGAACAGAGATCTTTGCTGCAATATCCATAAAAATTACCCAATATTTCATATAAATATATTAGAAAATGAAAAAACAAAATTATAATGTGTCAAATGTATATCATATAAAAAAATTGAAGCTGAATTTTTACTTTTGCAAGATATCATAGAATTTGATAGCAATTGGTTTTTCGAAAATTGGCCTCCACTTTCTAATTAATAGTTAAGGAATGATATAATCGACTTAAAAAATAATGAAACAGACTTCAATTAATAAATCGAAGAATTTTACGAATCTCTTACTCAAGAAGTAATTTAGATTATTTCTTAGAAAAAGAAACAATAACTAATTTAAGCCTAAAAGGTTTACGAATTAAAGTCTGATATAATTGAATAATATCAATAACTGGCATAAATTGATAAAATGAAAGAATGTCTTGTTTAAGAAAATCAATAAATTGAGAAAATTGAAGAAGATTTAAAAGAGCAAATAAATTCACAATTAAAAAAAAAAGAAGAATATACCTCTCTGCTTTCTTGTATGATGAAATAGTATGAATTAATTAGTAAATTGGATGATATAAGGACTGCTCAGCTGAAAGAAAATATTTTAGAAATTTTAAAAGTTGTTAATCTTTTACCTTAAAATAATTTTAATTCTAGCACTGAAAAAGAAGAATTTAGATTTGAAAATATCGAATCTTACAAGAAAAAGTTAGAAGAAGAACTTTAAATTAACAAATAAGACCAAATTAAAGTTTAAACTTTAATAAATTAGCTTAATCTTTGTAAAATAGAATTAATTTAGAAAATGAATCAAAAAGATTGGTTTTTAGATAATTTCTTAGAAGGATAATAATTTTTGTTTTAAAATACTGAGCTCGAATAATTAATATTTATCAAAGATAGTTACATGAATCTAAATGAAAAGAAAAAATAAAAAGAGAATATTAATTTTAAAGATTTCAGAAGCGAAAATATAGGAGATATGTTTGAAATAATAAAATATGAAGAATTAAATGAGTTACCTAATAATTGATCGCTATATGATAATAAATAATATACTTTATCAAACATATTATAAATAAATAATAATTAGTGGTGAGATGAATTACATAGAATTCGAATTTTCTATTGAATATATTTTTTATTTTTAAGATAATATGTTGTCATTTTACAAAACATTATAAAATAAAACACATTATATTAAATTATTCAAATATATTTATGTTTATTTATTTATTTTGTTTTCACTACTTTTTATCACCACAAGAAATATTTTGTAAGGACTACTAATCTTTTTGATTTCAGACACTTGCTATCCATTTTCAATTTTAATGAATAACTCATTTTATTTGAACTTTTTATATGAATTAGAGTAAATTATTTTAAAAAAATTAAATTTAATAAAATTTTTAAATTAATAAATTAAAAAAACATCAACAAAATAAAATCAAATAAAAAATTAAAATAAATTAATAGAGTTATGTTATTTTAAATTCTTTTTGTATTAAAAAAATATCCTATCAAAAAAAAATAAACTAGCCATTTTTACACAAGATTAAGTTTTAAATAATAGAGATTATTAGCATTTGCTAAAGCAGAGCTTAAGCCATATGCACCTTCATCGCCAATTTGATTTTTACTTTTAAATATTGAAGATAAAAAATATAATAAAAAATTAATTAGTTAGTTAATTTGAAGGAAAAAATTAAAAAATTTTCAAATAATAAGAAATTAATATATATATAATAACAAAGAAAATAGAAAAGCAAGCAAAAATAAAATTTTATCAAGTAAAAAGATAATAAATAAATAAATTAAAATGCTAAAAAAGTTATAAATTCGTTTTTATATTCAAAAATATTGCAATCTAAAACAAATAAACTATTTTTACCAAAGATAAAGTGTCAAGTTAGAGAGATTATTGCAAAGTATTAAACTGGAAATTAAACTTAATACACCTTCATCACCAATTTAATTTTCACTTTTTAAATATTGAAGAAAAAATAAATGTTTAATTTTTAGAAGGAAAAAATGAAGTAAAAATATGAAATTATAAGAAATATTTAATTATTAATAAAATTAAAAGTTAAAAATTAAAAAATAGGTTAAATTAACAAATAAAAAAAAATAACAAACACAACACAACAGAATAAAAAAAAAATAAATCCAACAAATTATAATAAATCGATCAAAAGATTTATACTATTTTAAAATAATATTACTATTAAAAAATATGACAATCTCAGATAAATAAACTGTTTTTACTCAAGATAAAGTGTCAAATTAGAGAGATTAGTGCAATTTGCTAAAGAACAACCTAAGCCTTTTACACCTTCATCACCAATTTAATTAATTCTTTAATATTGTAGATAAATATAAAATTGATTAGTTAATTACTTAGAAGGAAATTATGAAGAAGAAATATGAAATTAATTAATAATAAAAGTAAAAGTCGAAAATAAAAAAATTTGTTAAATTAACAAGCAAACAAAGGAAAAAATAAATAAATCAAATAAATTAAAAGAGTTAGTTAGTTATTAGTTAGTTATATTATTTTAAATTAATTTTTATATTTAAATAAACTATTTTTACTTTAGAGAAAGTGTCAAATTTGAAAGATTAGTGCACTTTTCTAAACTAGAACCTAAGTCCATTGCACCAATTGCGCCAATTTAATTGTCCCTTTTAAATATTGGAGAAAAGTATATATTCAATTTGATATTTATAAGGAAAAACAAAATAGTAAGATATGATTAATTATTAATAAAAAGAGTAGAAATTAATTGTAAAAATAAGTTTAATTAGAAAATAAAATAAAAAACACAATAGAATAAAAAATAAAAATAAATCAAATAAAAGCTAATAAATAAATAAATTAAAAAAGTTAGTTAGTTTGTTATATTGCTTTAAATTCATTTTTATATTTAATAATATAACAATCTAAAACAAATAAGCTGTTTTTACTAAAGATCAAGTAACAAATTTGAAAGATTAGTGCAATTTGCTAAAGCAGAAGCTAAGCTTGATACACCTATTGAGCCAATTTCATTCAACCTTTTTATATATTATAATAAAAATATATAATTAATAATTTAATTTATAATATAGGCAAAATTTCTAAATGTAAAAACGAGTAAAATTAATAAAAAAAGTAAAAAATAACACAAATATAATAAACAATAGAAATAAATCAAATAAAAAGCTAGTAAATAAATTAAAAAAGATGGATTATTTTAAATTTTTTTATATTAAAAAATATCATAATTCAAAACTAATAAATTGTTTTTACCAAAGATCAAGCTTCAAATTTGAGAGATTAATACAATTTTCAAAAGCTGAACATAGGCCTGAAGCACCATTTGCACCAATTTAATTATCCCTTTTTAAATATAAAATATATATGATTAATTAGTTAGTTACAATGAAAAAATGAAGAAAAATATGAAAAAATAAGAAAAGAATTAATAAATAATAAAAGTAAAAGTTGGTTGCAAATAAAAAATATGTTTAATTAAAATTTAAAAAATTACATAATAAAAAAGAAAAAAAATAAATCAAATAATAAGCTAATAAATAAAAATTAAAAATTTATTTAGACAAATTTTTTAATTTTTTTGACAGAGTCTTTTTAAAAATATATTGTCTATTAAAAAAAAAAAAGAAAATGAATGTGTTTAAACACAAATATAAATAAATGAATAAATAAAAATAAAAAACAATAAAAAACAAAAAAAAATATTAATATAAATAATTTAAAATATTATAATTAAGATGTATTCTGAGTGCATATTTATATGTGCGAGTATTTCTATTCTATTCTATTCTGCTCCAATTTAATTTTTACTTTTAAAAAATTGAAAAAAAAATGTATTAATTTTAGCAAAAAGGAAAAAATAAATGAAGCAAAAATATAAAATAGTAAGAAATAAATGAATTGATAATAAAAAAAATTGGAAATGTGAATTAAATATAAAAAAGAAGAAAAAAAACATAATAAGTTTTATTATTTAAAGTTCATTTTATATCTAAAAAATATCATAATCCAAACTAAATATACTATTTTTACTTAAGACCAAGTGTCAAATTTGAGAGATTAGTACAATTTGCTAAAGCAGAACCTAAGCCTGATGCACCTGTTGTACCAATTTAATTGCTACTTTTTAAATATTGTAGAAATTACATAGTTAATTATTTAATTATAATTAAAAAATTAAGAAATTAATTAAAAATTAAATAATAGCTAAAAATTAAAAAACAAAGAAGAAAAAAAAAAATAGAAGTAAAATAATCAAGAAAAATTAATCAAATAAAAAGCTAATAAATAAATTAAAAGAGTTAATTAGTTATTTTATTTTAAAAATATCACAATAAAAAACAAATAAACTGTTTTTACGAAAGATCAAGCGTCAAATTTGAGAGGATAGTGTAATTTGCTAAAGCAATACCTAAGCCTGATGCACATTTCTCACTAATTTAATTCATTCTTTTTAAAAATTAAAGAATAGTTAATTAGTTAGTTAAAACGAAAAAATAAAGAGAAATTAATCATGAAATAGTAAGAAAATAATTAATTAAAAATAAGAGCAAAAGTTATAAATGTAAAAATGAGTTAAATTAATAACGAAAGAAAAATTAACACCAAAAGAATAAAAAATAAAAATAAATCAAATAAAAAGCAAATTAAAAAATCTAGTTTTTTTTTTAATTTCATTTTTATATTTTAAAAATTTCATAAACTAAAAATAAAACAAATAAACTGTTTTCTACGAGAGTATAAGCTCCAAATTTGAGAGATTAGTGCAATTTGCTAAAGCAGAAACTAAGCTTAATGCACCTTCATCATCAATTTAATTGTCACTTATTAAATATTGAAAAAATTATATAAAATTAGTTCATTAGTTATAAGAAAAAATATGAAATAATCAGAAATTAATTAGTAATTAATTATAAAAATAAAAGTTGAAAATATTATAATGCGTTAAATTAAAATTGGAGACACAAAAATAAAATCATAATAAATTAAATGAATTATATAGTTTTAAATTCATTTTTAGATTAAAAAATATCGCAATCCAAATAAATAAAAAGTTTTTACCTAAGATAAAGCTTCAAATTTGAGAGACTAGTGCACTTTCCTAAACTAGAACCTAAGCCTGATGCACCTTTTGCACGAATTATATTACCACTTTTTAAATATTGAAAAAAAATAATAATAAATTAATTAGTTAGTTAGAAGAAAAAAATGAAGAAAAAATATGAAATAATTAGAAATTAATTAAATAAATAATAAAAATAATCATATAAAAATAAATCTAATCAATCAATTAAATGAATTATTATTTTTTAAATTCATTTTTATATAAAAAAACATTGCAATCTAAACAAATAAACTGTTTTTACAAAAGATCAAGTGTCAAATTAGAGAGGTTAATGCAATTTACTAAAGCAGAAAATAAATCTGTTGCACCAATTGAACCAATATTATTGTTCCTTTTTAAATGTTGAAGAAAAATTAATAATTAAATCATTAGTAGGAAGGAAAAAAAGAAGTAATAAGAAATGTATTAATTGTTAATAAAATCAAAAGTTAGAAATAAAAAAATGAGTTAAATTAAAATAGAAATAAAAAAATATATCAAATAAAAAGCTAATAAATAAACAATTCAAAAGAGTCAGTTAGTTATATTTTTTTTATTCATTTTTATATTGTAAAATATCACAATTCAAAACAAAAATAATATTTTTACTTAAGATTAAGTGTCAAATCTTTGAGATTAGTGCAATTTGCTAAAGCAGAACCTAAGCATGATGCACCTTCATCTTCAATTTAATCAAAACTTTTTAAATATTAAAGAAAAAATTTATAAGCAATTAGTTAATTGGAAGGAAAAAATAAATTAAAAAAAAATATCAAATAATAAAAAATGAATTTTTAGCAATCATAATAAAAATTGAAAGTTGAAATTAAGTAAAAAGAATTAACAAAATATTTGTGTTAAATTTTTATGAATGAATATAGATGACAATTTCTATTAGAAAAATAATATTGTAAATAACTTGAAAATTAAATGTAAAAAACATTAATACTATTAATAAATTACATATTACTCAGATGAACATGAAGAACCTAATGAGATTAAAGTGAAGAGCTTAAAAACTTTTTTTATTAATAAAAATAAATTTAAAGAATATTAATAAAAAAATAAATATTTACTTTTTTTAGATCCTTGAAATAATTATTCTATTATATCATTTATGTTTATTTTATTTTCAAAAATATTAAATAACACTAGATAGATCGAAATTTAATTAATTATAAGTATATTAATAAAGTAAGTTACTCATTTTTTAACTTCTTATTTTTAAAAATAAGCCATTCATACATATCTATTAATTTAAGATAAATTTAACTATTTAATATAGCTAGTTAGTTACTCTCAGTATCTTTTTGTATTTTAAAATATAAATTAATTTAAATTACTAAATAATTTATTTATTTATTTATTTTTTAATATTAAAATTTTTTTTTATTATTTTTAATATTTTTTATTTTTAAAGTTGAATTATGTTTGTTAGTTTTTATTTAAATCAGTAAATAAAATTTAAATTTATTATGTATGTATGTCTTATTAATTAATTATCAATGTAAATTTTCATTGCAGAGAAAAATTTTTTATTTTTTTATCCCAAATTATATTTAATAATCAATATAAATATCATTAAATAGCCAAAGGCTTATTATTATTTAAAGTTTTATTTTTTTTAATGAATTAAATTCTTAATTTGCCATACCAACAGGAATTTAATAGCTGGAAGTATTATTATTTGATTAATATATATAAAAAATCATTAGAAATTTTATACATAATAAACACCTGATATAAATAGAATAGAGTTTAATTAACTTTGAGAAATAGAAATAGAAATTTTGTTATATATATTTATGATAAATACTTGATAAAAATTTGATAAAGATTAATTAATTTTGAGAAATTAGTAGAAAATTTATTTTTTTATTTATTTATCGTTTGATAAAAAAATTAAATAAAGATTAATTAATTTTGAGAAATAGAAATTTCATTTTATTTATTTTTTATAAATAGCTGATATAATCTGTTTGTCTGACCTATGCTTATGAGAAATCATAAATTTTATTTTGCTATTTAATAAATGATATTGAATAAAGTTTAATTAATTTTGAGAAATAGAAATTTTATTATATATCTATCTATGTATGTATTTATGTGTTAGTTAATATATACCAGATATAATTTAATTAAAGCTTTGAGAAATCAATCATTATAAATTATTTTAAATTTATTTATGATATTTGGTAAGTGCTTGCTTGATACAAATTTAGTAAAGCTTAATTAATTTTGAGAAATTAATTAATAGATATTTTATTTTATATCTTTTGGATTAGATAAATAGCAGATAAAAATTTAATTTGATTAATAAATAGAAAATTAATTTATCTTAAAGAAACTCCATAATATTTTAATAAACGCTTTGTTTATAATTTCACTATTAAAAAAGATTAAAAAAAGAATTTTTAAAATGAATTTTAATTCGAAAAATAAATATTCTGAATGGCTTCGAAGTAAAGAATTTGAACTAAAAAATAATTCTAATATAGCAAATGAAAGTTATCTAATTAATTAACAAAATATTTTAGTTCATACAGCTCCTTTAAAAAATTTTGTTTCAGGTCTTTAATCAAATAAATCATTTGATGACTTTTCAAGGGTATTATTTTTACCAAGTCATCTCTATGAAAATAAGTCTTATAATATAAAAGTCTAAGACAAAACAATTGACTTGCTATAATGTATGTATGTCATCACGCATTAAAAAGGATTTAATAAATTGGTTTTCATATAACTCTAGAATTTTATTGACTATAATTAAGATTTACCTATTTAAAAGTTTGATACAATTTAAAATTCTGATGATTTAGAAATTTAAGCTGGAATACTTGGGGAAAAGTATATTATATTAGCTATTTAATCAAGCTAATAAATTGACATAAAGATACTAAATTTAGACCTAACCTTGCTTTTTGAATATCAAAAAGAGCATATTATGGATTAATTTGTGATTAATTTTGTTAATAGAAGTTTCCATTATTTTGATAGTTAAATAGATTATTATGAACCAGGTATTATTTACTTCCTAGGAACTTAATTGGTAGTGAGAATTGACTTAAATTAGAAATCAGCAATTACAAAGGTTTTTGGAGATTGTTCAAAAATATTACTGAGATTGATGCCTGTTACATAAAGTGAGTTTAAATACTACTTCAAAAGTTGTAAAAGTGAAAAATTAGTAGGCTATTATAATAACAGCTTAGAATTTTTAATCTTATTTGTAATTATGGATAATATAATTTATCAATTAAATATGAATAATTTAGAAATAATTAGATAAACTAGAATTTAGAATTTAAAAGCAAGCGATTTTAAATAGCAGATCATTTAAGCTTTTGCTCTACCTATTTAAATCAAGGATCGTCACAGAAAAAAATTTTCAAAATGGACTTTTTTAATTCAATAGAAAAATTCAAATTCTGAAACACTTCATTGGAAATATAGTTTCTGTGATTGGAGAGAATAATCTCTGTTTATAAGAGAAAAGCAGTAAAAATTTAAACTCGATTTCTTTACTCCTAATTTAATTACTTAAAGAATATTTATCCATAAGAATAGTATATTTCAATTATTTCAAGAATAATATATAAGTACTACTACTTATTAAAGGGAAGACTCTTTAGCTTGGTTAAAGATCTAGATAGAAAAGAAAAAGGGTGAGAAAAATTATTCTTAGAATATTCTTCTTAACAACTAAAAAGAAATCATCTACCCTTCTTAAAACTATTTCATTTAGCATTTCCTTCACCCAATACTTTACAAAAATGAGTTAACATATCCTTGCTATATGATAAAACAGCCTCAGTAAGATATTCATTATCCTGGTAACATTATTGGTTTTCACTCTTTCAAAGATCAAGCTTAGAAGCAAGTTTAATACTAAGTTAAATAGTTGAATAGTTCTGATTATCAAGCACTATAAGATAAAGGTATAAAATTCCTCACCTTCTAAGGTGATTAAAAAATTATACTTTGTAAATTCGATTAAAATCAGATTACAACATAATATTTTGATCTTCCTTTGCAAGATGACTAAAAAATCAAAGATTATTTCTTTAATCAAAGTAGCTTTGAATAAATTTTTTTAACAGAATAAAATGAAACTATATAATTGAATTCATATTCATTATAAGTAGAAGGATATTAGTTTTCTTAATTTGTTCAATTAAAAAAAGAAATTAAATGTTATTCGGAGTTTACATTAGATAGACAAACCAACGATTTATATTTACCAATGATTTATCGTAATGGATAAAATAAATACTTTGGAATTTTTGACATAAATAAAAAGTAGATAATTTCAAATACCATTCAAAGAGCAAAATATACAAAAGGCTTACTTTCTCATTATGATGAAAATAAAAAACTATTTACATTACTTTTTTTCAAAAGTGTACTTGAAAAGACTTATCTATTTTTTTATTAACTAAATATGAAAAACTTTAATTTTAAGCTTGTAAATATGCACTTATTTTAAAATAGATTCTATATAGACTAAACTTATTTGTGCCTTAATGTTAAGAATAATACCTTTAATGTGTTAATAAAATACCATTACCATAACGATGGTATCTTCAAATTTAATGAAAGGAAGAAATTTGAGTTCAAAAAACTGATAAAAAGCCATTTGAATATTGAAAATTATAATTACTAAGATTGGTATGTAAGATCAGACGCATTTTAATGCAATTTCCTAAAAAACCAATAAGGATCCTAAAAAATACTCTGTTTAGATCTTTTTCGATCACTTAATTATGCATTCCGAACAAATCTTTGTGTCTATGATGTGAAATGTAGTTCAGTTTAGCTTATAAATTTAGATTTCATAACACAAGAAGATTATTAATAATAACAAGGATTAGATGGTCCTAATATTTTACACATACGCATCAATTAGTTAAAAACAGGAGAAGTTTTTATACATTATGGAACCAACCAAATTAAAATTCTAAAACAATTATTTTGATTTCATTAAAGTATAACCTTAAATTGATATTAATGTTTGATAAAAATACATTAAATTTTTAAGTTTTTTAGATAGATAAATGGTTGATTGGTTGATTACTTTTTTAATAAAGAAACAAACAAACAAAAAATACAATTTTATAATTTTTTTATATTTATATTTTATATGTCATATGAATGCATAACTTTAAAAAATAATCTTTCTAAATTTTCATCCATCAATAATACTTTCAAAAATATTTAAAACTCAAAATCTCTTAGGCCTTAAAATACATAGATTTAGAGTAATAAATCATGCCTTTTTCGAAATTAAATTTAACAACATTTGATTTTAATCAATTATTTTTATTTTGAAATTCCATTTTTTTTAAATTTTCTTATTGCTATTCTCTGATAAATTTAAAAGTTCTAAATATTATAAATATCAAGCTTAATAAATTATTCATTCAATAAATAAATTGAACACGCATAATTAATAGTTAAACAAAATAGATATTGTAAATAAATAATTTGATAAATAAATTTAATTTTTAATATAAGTATTATATATAGTAGAGTTCAACTTTGTTTTTCTAAATAAAAATTAAAATAAAATAAAAAAAATAAATATGTATAAATACGTCAAAAATTTCTTTTATTCTAATGAGTTCATATTTTCATTACCGTTTATGTACAATCCCTAGTTAATACTTTATTTTTAAGTAGACATTTAAAATAGAATTATTAAGATAAGATAATGAATGTCACACTAACTTTTTTGTGATTTCTCAAACTAAAGACAAATTTATAAATTAATATAATTTACTTGTTATTATTCACTTATAATTAATTAAATTTCCATAAATTTCTATTCAATATTTTAATATTTATTTTTGAAAAAAAAGAAATGATATAATAGATTAAATATTTCAAATTAGAAGAAGTAATTATTTATTTATTTTTTTATCAATATACTTTAAATTTATTTTTATTTAAAAAAAGTTTATTAACTCTTCACTTTAATCTCATTAAGTTCTTCATATTGATCTGAGGTATATTTATTTTATAAAAATTATAAATATTAATATTTTCAATATATTTAACTTTCAGTTTATTTAAATTATTTTTATAAAAGAAATTATCACCTATATTCATTCATTTTATTTATACAAATGCTTTTTAGTTATTTTAACTTAATTTTTAATTTAAAATTGATTACCCATTTTTTACTATTTTATATTTTTTATATATTTTTTTCCTTATAAAACCTGTGCTTAATAAAAACAGTTTATAAATTTTTGCTTGAGATATTTTTTGTTATAAAAATGAATTTAAAACAATATTACCATTCTAATTTGTTTATTAGCTGTTTATTTGATTTATTTTTTTTGTGCTTGTGTTTTTTTTCTTTATTTATTATTCTTAATTTAACTCATTTATTTATTTTCAACATTTACTTTTATTATTTATTTATTAATTAATTCATTTCTTATTATTTCATATTTTTTCTTCATTTATTTGTAAATAACTAATTAATTATTTATTTTTTCTTCAATATTTAAAAAGTTATCAAGAAATTGGTGAATAAGGTGCATCAGTCTTAGGTTCTGCTTTAGCAAATTGTATTGACATCTCAGATTTGGCACTTTCTCTTAGGTAAAAATAGTTTATTTATTTTGGATTGAGATATTTTTCCTTATTAAAATGAATTTAAAACAAAAAAACTCTTTTAATTTGTTTTTTAGCTTTTTTTTTGAATTACTTTTCTTTTTTTTTCTTTATTTTACTTTTCATTTCACATTATTTCTTCATTTTTTCCTTCTTAATAACTAATTAATTTTATATTTTTTCTTCAATATTTAAAAAGTTGCAATTAAATAGGTGATTAAAGTGCATTAGGTTTAGCTTCTGCTTTAGAAAATTGCACTAATATCTAAAATTTGAAACTTGATCTTGGGTAAAAACAGTTTATATATTTTGGATTGTGATATTTTTCTTTATAATAATGAATTTAAAATAATATATCTCATTCATTAAATTTGTTTTTAGCCGTTTATTTAATTTACTTTTCTTTTAATTTTATTATTGTACTTCTGTTTTTTCTTCGTTATCTTTCTTAATTTAACTATTTTGCTTATTTTTAACATTTATTATATTATTTATTAATTCAGTTCTTATTATTTGATATTTTTTCTTCATTTTTTCCTTTTAAATAACTAATTAATTATAAATTTTTTCTTCAATATTTCAAAAGTAGGAATTAAATTGGTGCAATAGGTGCATCAGGCTTAGGTTCTGCTTTAGCAAATTGTACTAATATCTCAAATTTGACACTTGATCTTAGGTAAAAACAGTTTATTAGTTTCGGATTGTGATATTTTTCCTTTAAAAATGAATTTAAAATTATTCTTTATTTTACTTTTCAATTCTTATTATTTCATATATTTTCTTCATTTTTTCCTTTTCTAAACAACTAATTAATTATATATTTTTTATTATATATTTAAAAAGCTACAATTAAATTGGTGCAACAGGTGCATCAGGCTTAGGTTCTGCTTTAACAAATTACACTAATCTCTCAAGTTTAATACTTGATCTTTCGTAAAAACAGTTTATTTGTTTTGGATTGTGATATTTTCCTTATAAAAATGAATTTAAAATAATATAACTCTTTGAATTGGTTTATTAGCTCTTTATTTGATTTACTTTTCTTTTTCTTTTTTTTGTAGTTCTGTTTTTTCTTCTTCTATCTTTCTTAATTTAAGTCATTTTTTTATTTTTAATATTTGCTTTTATTACTTATTAATTCATTTTGTAATATTTCATATTTTTCTTCATTTTCTGTGTAAATAACTAATTAATGATATATTTTTTCTTCAATATTTAAAAAGTGAGAATTAAATTGGTGCAACAGGTGCATCAGGATTAGGTTCTGGTTTAGGAAATTGTATTAATCTCTCAAATTTGACAGTTGCTCTTAGGTAAAAATAGTTTATTTGTTTTGGATTGAGATATTTTTCCTTATTAAAATGAATTTAAAACAATTTACTCTCTTAATTTGTTTATAAGCTATTTATTAGAATTAATTTTCTTTATTTCTTTATTTTACTTTTCATTTCTTATTATTTCATATTTTTTATTCATTTTTTCCTTCTGAATAACTCATTAATTATATATTTTTTTTTGAATATTTAAAAAGTTACAATTAAATTGGTGATTAAGGTTCATCAGGCTTAGTTTATGCTTTAGCAAATAATATTAATCTCTAAAATTTGGCACTTCTTCTTAGGTAAAAACAGTTTATTTGTTTTGGATTGTAATATTTATCCTTATAAAAATGAATATAATACAATATAAGTATTTTAATTTACTTATTAGCTGTTTACTTGATTTACTTTTCTTTTTCTTTTTATTGTACTTGTGTTTTTTCCTCATCTGCCTTTATTTATTTTAAATATTTGCTTTTGTTACTTATTTATTCATTTCTTATTATTCCATTTTTTTTAATAATTTTTTCCTTCTAATTAACTAATTAATTAAATATTTTTCTTCAATATTTAAAAAGCAATAATTAAATTGGTGACTAAGGTGCATCAAGCTTAGGTTCTGCTTTAGCAAATTGCACTAATATCTCAAATTTGACACTTGATCTTGGGTAAAAATAGTTTATTTGTTTTGGATTGTGATATTTTTCCTTTAAAAATGAATTTAAAATAATATAGCTCTTTTAATTTGTTTATTAGCTATTTATTTATTTGATTTATTTTTCTGTTTATTTTTTATTTTACTTGTGTTTTTTCTTTTTTTTCCTTCTTAATTTAACTCTTTTGTTTATTTTTAATATTTATATTAATTATTTATTAATTCTTTTCTTATTATTTCATATATTTTCTTCATTTTTTCCTTTTCTAATTAACTAATTAATTATAATTTTTTATACAATATTTAAAAAGCTACAATTAAATTGGTGATTAAGGTGCATTAGGCTTAGGCTCAGCTTTAAAAAATTGCACTTATCTCTCAAATTTGACACTTGACCTTGGGTAAAAGCAGTTTATTTGTTTTGGATTGTGATATTTTTCCTTATAAGGAATTTTTAATAATAGAGCTCTTTTAATTTGTTTATTAGTTGTTTATTTGATTTACTTTTCTTTTTCTTTTTTATAGTACTTATGTTTTTTTTTTCATCTATCTTTCTTAATTTAACTCACTTTTTTATTTTTAATAATTGCTTTTATTATTAATTCATTTCATATTTTTTCCTTCTAAATAACTAATTAATTTTTTTTATTCTTCAAAATATAAAAAGTGGAAATAAAATGGGTGATTAAGGTGCATCAGACTTAGGTTTTGCTTTAGCAAATTGCATTAATCTTTAAAATTTGGCACTTCTTTTAAAGTAAAAATAGTTTATTCGTTTTGGATTGTGATATTTTTCTTTATAGAAATAAATTTAAAACTATTTAACTCTTTTAATTTGTTTTAATCTGTTTTTTTGAAATACTTTTCTTTTTTTTTTATTGTACTTTTTTTTCTGTCTAAATTTAACTTATTTGTTTATTTTCAACATTTCATTTTATTATTTATTAATTCATTTCTTATTATTTCATATTTTTTAATAATTTTTTCCTTCAAAATAACTAATTTATTTTTTATTTTTTCTTCAATATTAAAAAAGTTACAACAAAATTTGTGTAATAGGTGCATCGCGCTTAGGTTCTGCTTTAGCAAATTGCATTAATCTCTCAAATTTGACACTTTTTCTTAAGTAAAAATAGTTTATTTGTTTTGGATTGTGATATTTTTCCTTATAAAAATGAATTTAAAATAATATTTCTCTTTTTTATTTGTTAATTTGCTTTTTATTTGATTTATTTTTCATTTTCTTTTTTATTATGCTAATTTTTTTTCTTTTTTTTAATATAATATAAAAGTGAAAACTAAATCGATGAATCATAATAATTGACAGTAAAAAGCACGTGTCTTAAATCAAAAAGGTTAGTTGTCTTTGAAATATATTTAGATTTATGAGTGGTCAAATAGGATGAACAAATATAAAATATTTGAATAATAGAAAATAATATGTTTAATTATATTATATTTTGTAGTAAGATAATATACCCAAAAATATAGATAGATAGATAGATAGATAGATTAATTTATTGTTATTTTTATATTTATGAATATCATGTATATTTTGGTAAGTTAATAAATAGCATATTAAATAAATGAAAATTTACAAAAAAAATTTACTTAAACAAATGAATTTTCTAACCTGAGTGAAATTTTCTAAAAATTTAATTCTGATGGCTCTAAAACACCGTTCTACTTTATACAATATTTAAATTAAAGATCTTATTTGTATAAATAAGAAAATAAATTATTTTACAATTTAAATTATTTAAAAGAGCATTAAATTCTGCTTTAAAAACTAAAAGAGTTTGCATTGCAATTATAATCTTTAGTTCCTACAATATTTTTAAGTACACATTTGAAATAGAAATATTAAGATTAAATAATAAATGTTACACTAACTTTTTTGTGATTTATCGAACATAGGCAAATTTATAAATTAATAAAATTTATTTGTTCTTTTGATTCACTTATAAATAATTAAATTTCCATAAGTTTCTATTCAATATTTTAATCTTTACTTTTGAAAAATAAAATGATATAATTGATTAAAAAATACAATAAATTAGAAGAAGTAAATATTTTATTTTTTATCAAAACACTTTAAATTTATTTTTATTAAATAAAAAGTTTATAAACTCTTCACTTTAATCTCATTAGGTTCTCCATATTGATCTGAGGTATATTTATTTTATAAATATTATTACTATCTATTAATATATAATTTCACTATATTTAACTTTCAGTTTATTTAAAAATTATTTTTCTAAAAGAAATTACCACCTAAGTTTTAAATTGATTGATTACCCATTTCTTATTATTTTATATTTTTTATTCATTTTTTTACTTATAAAACCTTTACTTGATAAAAACAGTTTATAAGCTTTGGGTTGAGATATTTTTAGTTATAAAAATGAAATTAAAACAATAAAGCTCTTTTAATTTGCTTATTAGTTTTTTATTTGATTTATTTTTTTCTCTTTTTTATTGTGCTCATGTGTTTTTTCTTTATCTATCTTTCTTAATTTAACTCTTTTATTTATTTTCAACTTTTTTTTTTATTATTTATTAATTCATTTCTTATTATTTCATATTTTTCCTTCTAAATAACAAATTAATTATATATTTTTTCTTCAATATTTAAAAAGTTACAATTAAATTGATGCAACAGGTGCATCAAGCTTAGGTACTGCTTTAGCAAATTGCACTAATCTCTCAAATTTGACACTTTATCTTCAGTAAAAATAGCTTATTAGTTGGATTGTGTGTGATATTTTTCCTTAATAAAAATGAATTTAAAACAATATAAGTCTTTATTTTATTTTATTACTTTTCTATTTCTTTTTTATTTGTGTTATTTGTTCTTTATCTTTCTTAATTTAAATCATTTGTTTATTTTCTACAATTGTTTTTATTATTCATTAATTTATTTCTTATTATTTCATATTTTTTCAATTTAAATAACTAAACAAAAATCTAAATAAAAAGTAAATGAAATCGAAGCAGTAATTGTATATTTTTTCTTCAATATTTAAAAAGTGAGAATTAAATTGGTGCAACAGGTGCATAAGGCTTATGTTCTGCTTTAGTAAACTGCAGTAATCTCTCAAATTTGACTCTTTCTCTTGGGTAAAAATAGTTTATTTGTTTTGGATTGATATTTTATTTTTCCTTATTAAAATGAATTTAAAACAAAATATCTCTTTTAATTTGTTTATTTGCTGTTTTTTGATTTAATTTTTTATTTTACTTCTATTTTCTCTTTATCTATCATTTTTAATTTAACCAATTTTAAAATTTTCAACATTTACTTTAATTATTTATTAATTAATCATATTATTTCTTCATTTTTTCCTTCTAAATAACCAATTAATTGTAAATTTTTTCTTCAAAATTTAAAAAGTAAGAATTAAATTGGTGATTAAGGTTCATCAGGCTTATGTTCTGATTTAGCAAATTGCAATAATCTCTCAAATTTGACACTTTATCTTACGTAAAAATAATTTATTTGTTTTAAATTGTGATATTTTTCCTTATAAAAATGAATTTAAAACAATGTAACTCTTTTAATTAGTTAATAATCTGTTTCTTTGATTTATTTTTCTTTTTCTTTTTGTTGTCCTTGTGTTTTTTTCATCTATCTTTCTTAATCATACTCATTTGTTTATTTTGAACCAATATTTGCTTTTATTATTTATTAATTAATTCATTTCTTATTATTTCATATTTTTTCTGCATTTTTTCCTTTTAAAAAAGTAACTAATTAATTATATATTTGTTCTTGAATATTTAAAAAGTGAGAATTAAATTAGTGCAACAGGTGCATTAGGTTTAGGTACCGCTTTAGCAAATTGCACTAATATATCTAATTTGAAACTTAATCTTGGGTAAAAATAAATTATTTGTTTTGGATTGTGATATTTTTCCTTATTAAAATGAATTTAAAACAAAATAACTCTTTTAATTTGTTAATTAGTTTTTTATTTGATTTACTTTTCTTTTTTATTTTACTTATGTTTTTTCTTCATTAATCTTTCTTAATTTAACTCTTTTGTTTATTTTCAATATTTGCTTTTATTATTTATTTATTTATTTATTCACTCATTCATTTCTTATTATTTCATATTTTTTCTTAATTTTTTCCTTTTAAATAACTAATTAATAATATATTTTTTCTTCAATATTTAAAAAGTGGGAATTAAATTGGTGCAAAAGGTGCATCAGGCTTAATTTCTGCTTTAGCAAATTGCATTAATCTCTCAAATTTGACACTTGATCTTGTGTAAAATCACTTTATTTGTTTTGAATTGTGATATTTTTCTTTATTAAAATGAATTTAAAACAATATAACTCTTTAAATTTGTTTATGTTTATTTTATTTACTTTTGTTTTTTTTTATTGTACTCGCGCGCGTTTTTTCTTCATTTATCTTTCTTAATTTAACTCTTTTGATTATTTTCAACATTTATTTTTACTATTTATTAATTTATTTCTTATTTTTTAATATTTTTTAATATTTTTTCTTCATCTTTTCCTTAAAAATAACCAATTAATTATAAATTTTTTCTTCAATATTTAAAAAGTTACAATTAAATTGGTGCAACAGGTGCATCTGGCTTAGGTTCTGCTTTAGAAAATTGCACTAATCTCTCAAATTTGACACTTAATCTTGGGTAAAAATAGTTAATTAGTTTTGGATTGTGATATTTTTCCTTTTTAAAATGAATTTAAAACAATAGAAGTCTTTTAATTAGTTTATTAGCTATTTATTTGATTTACTTTTCTATTTGTTTTTTATTGTACTTCTGTTTTCCCTTATTTATCTTTCTTAATTTAACTCATTTGCTTATTTTTAACATTTGCTTTTATTATTTGTTAATTAACTTCTTATTATTTCATATATTTTCTTCATTCTTCCATCTAAAAAACTAATTAGTAATATATATTTTCTTCAATATTTAAAAAGTTACAATTAAATTGGTGTAACTGATGCATTAAGTTTAGGTTCTGCTTTAGCAAATTACACTAATCTCTCAAATTGACACTTAATCTTGGGTAAAAATTTTTTTTTGATTGTGATATTTTTCGTTATTAAAATGAATTAAATTAAAAGAGCTCTTTTAATTTATTTATAAGCTGTTTATTTGAATTACTTTTCTTTTTCTTTTTTATTGAATTTATGTTTTTTCTTCATTTATCTTTCTTAATATAACTCATTTAATTATTTTCAACATTTGCTTTTATTATTTTTTAATTCATTTCATATTTTTTCTTCATTTTTTCCTTCTAAATAACTATTTAAATATATTTTTTCTTCAATATTTAAAAAGTGGGAATTAAATTGGTGATTAAGGTTCATCAGGTTTAGTTTTTGCTTTAGAAAATTGCATTAATCTCTCCAACTTGACACTTGATCTTAGGTAAAAACAGTTTATTTGTTATGGATTGTGATATTTTTCTTTTTTAAAATGAATTTAAAAGAATATAAATACTCTTTTAATTTTTTGATTAGCTGAATTTAATTGATTTGCTTTTTATTTTATTTTTCTTCATCTATCTTTCTTAATTATACTCATTTGTTTATTTTCAACCAACTTTTGCTTTTATTATTTATTTATTAATTATTATCTTATTATTTCATATTTTTTCTTCATTTTTTCCTTCTAAATATCTAATTAATTATTTATTTTTTCTTCAATATTTAAAAAGTGGGAATTAAATTGGTTCAACAGGTGCATCAGGCTTAGGTTTTGCTTTAGCAAATTGCACTAACCTCTCAAATTTGACACTTAATTTTGGGTAAAAACAGTTTATTTGTATTTGAATTGTTAAATTGTTCCTTATAAAAATGAATTTAAAATATTATAACTCTTTTAATTTGTATACTATCTGTTTATTTGATTTACTTTTTTTTTATTGTACTTCTGTTTTTTCTTCTTTATCTTTCTTTATTTAACTCATTTTTTTTATTTTCCATAATTGATTTTATTATTTTTTATTTCATTTCTTATTATTTCATATTTTATCTACATTTTTTCTTTCTAACTGATTATATAATTAATATTATATTTTTTCTTGAATATTTAAAAAGTTACAATAAAATTGGCGATGAAGGTGGATCAGGTTTAGGTTCTGGTTTAGCAAATTGTAATAATCTCTCAAATTTGACACTTTATCTTCAGTAAAAACAGTTGTTTGTTTGAGATATATTTCCTTATAAAATGAATTTAAAATAATATAACTCTTTTAATTTTTTAATATGCTATTATTTGATTTATTTTTCTTTTTCTTTTTTATTCTGCTAATGCTTTTTCTATATTCTAATTTAAATAATAAATAATTTTAATTATATTTAATTTAATATAAAAGTGACAACTAAATCAATGAATCATAATAATTGACAATAAAAAGCAAGTGTCTTAAATCAAAAAGATTAGTTGTCTTTGAAATATATCTCGATTTATGATAGAAAAGTGGTGAAAAAAGATGAACGAACAAATATAAAATATTTAATTAATAGAAAATAATATGTTTTATTATATAATATTTTGTAGTAAGATATAATGTACCCTAAAGTATACAAAGATAGACAGATTGATTTATTATCATTTTTATATTTATGAATAACGAAAAAATGGGGGTTTACACTTTTTTTTTTAATTTTGGGGTGAATTAATGAGAACTTATAGTATATTAAAATTAATAGAATTTTATCAACATGTGAATATCAATCTTTGATTATTACTATTTATTTTTATAAGTAAAAATTATTAATAGAAATATTTAGATTTAATAATCAGTGTTACATTAACTTTTAACTTTTTGGGGATTACATTAACTTTTAACTTTTTGGGGATTTCATTATCTAATAGCAAATTTAAAATTGTTTATTTGATAATTATTTAAATTTATTGGTTCTTTTATGTCTAAATTAATTAGATAAGAGAGATAATTAATTTATTAATATACTTTTAATTAATTAAATCTTCCTAAATTGTTATTCAATATTTTATAAAAGAGAAAAAAAAATGATATAATAGAAAGGATATTTTACCGATCTAGAAAAAGTAAATATTTTATTTTTATTATTTTTGAATCAATTTATTTTTATTTATTTCAAAAGGTTTTAAATTCTTCGCCTTAATCATTTTAGGTTCTGCATATTGATCTGAAATAAAATTTTTTGTATATTTAATTTATTAATATTATTATTATCATAATTAATTTTTTATTATTTTAATTTTGATATAATTTAGTAAATTTAAATTATTATCAATATTCATAAATTTTTATTTAAACAAATATTTTTTAATTATTTTAATTTAACTATCATTCAATTTTTATTATGATTATTAATTTTTTATGTTTTTATATTATATATTTTTTCTTCATTTTTTCCTTCTAACTAACAAATTAACTATAAATTTTTTCTTCAATATTTAAAAAGTTCGAAATAAATTGGTGATGAAGGTGCATCAAGCTTAGGTTCTGCTTTAGGAAAGTGTGCTAATCTTTAAAATTTGACTCTTTATCTAAGGTAAAAACAGTTTATTTGTTTTGGATTGTATATTTTTGAATATGAAAACGAATTTGAAATAATAAAACTAACTAAATCTTCTAATTTATTTATTTAAGAGTTTTTCATATTTGATTAATTTTTCTTTTTTTATTCTAATTGTGTTTTATTTATTTTTTTAGTTCATTTTTTTAATTTCAACTTTTTTTTTTATTAACTCATCTAGCTGGGGTTCTCACTATTGAGATATATTAATTTTTTAGATAATATGAATTTATAAATTTTTTTTTCTTTATAGAAAATTTTATCAATTCTAAAATATGCCCTGCTTAAGTGTTAATTTTTTTCTTATTATTTCATATTTTTTCTTCATTTTTTCTTTCTAACAAACAAATTAACTTCAATTTTTAAAAAGAGAAAATTAAATTGGTGATGAAGGGGCATCGATTTTAGGTTCTGGATTAGCAAAGTGCACTAATCTCTAAAAATTGACACTTGGTATTTAGTAATTAAACTCAGTTTATTTGTTTTGGATTGTGATGTTTGAATATAAAAATAAATTAACTAACTCTTTTTAATTCATTTTTTCATTTTCAACTTTTGATTTTATTATTAATTAATTTCTTATTATTTCATATTTTTTCTTGATTTTTTCCTTATAATTATCAAATTAACTCTTTGTTTTTTCTTCTATATTTAAAAAGGACAAATAAAATTGGTGATAAAGGTGCATCAAACATTGGTTCTGGTTTAGAAAAGTGCACTAATCTCTCAAATTTGACACTTTATCTATGGTAAAAACAGTTTATTTGTTTAGGGATGAATTTAAAAGAAAAAACTATTTAATTAAATTTTTTCTTCATTTTTTGCTCCTAATGACAAGTTAAATATATATTTTTTCTTCAATATTTAAAAAGGGAAAATAACATTAGTGATCAAGGTGCATCTGGCTTAGGTTTTGGTTTAGGAAAGATGACTAATCTCTCAAATTTGACACTTTATCTATGGTAAATTATGATATTTTTGAAAAAAAATAAATTTAAAACAATCTAACTAACTCTTTAAATTAATTTATTTATGAGTATTTTCATTTGAATTATTTTACTTTTTTTTATCTTGCTTGTGTTTTATATATATTTTTATTTCTTTCTTTATTAATTTAACTTATTTTTTCAATTTCAACTTTTGCTTTTATTATTAATTAATATTTTTTTCTTCAATATTTAAAAAGGAAAAATTAAATTGGCAAAGAAGGAGCTTCAGGCTTAGGTTCTGGTTTAGCAAAGTGCACTAATCTCTCAAATTTAGCACTTGAACTTTAGTAAAAATAGTTTTTTTGTTTTGGATTGCAATATTTTTGAATATAAAAAAGAATTAAAAGAATATAACTAACTCTTTTAATTCATTTATTTATGAGCTTTTCATTTAACTTATTTTTCTTTTAGTATTTACTTTACTAACGTTTTTAATATTTATTTCTTTGTTTTTTTTTCCCTTCTAACTAACGAATTAACTTTATAATTTCTCTTCAATATTTAAAAAGGCAAAATTAAATTGGTAATGAAGGTTCATCAAGCTTAGGTTCTGGTTTAGGAAAGTGCAATAAACTCTCAATTTTGACACTCGGTATTTAGTAAAATCAGTTTTTATGTTTTGGATTATGATATTTTTGAATTCATAAATGAATTTAAAAGAAAAAAACTATTTTTTTATATTTATTTTGAGCTTTTTATTTGATTTTTTTTTTTTTTTTTTTCTTTTTTTTATTTTGCTTATGCTTTTTATTTGTTTATTTGTTTGTAAGTTATTCATTTAATTTTCAACTATTGATTTTATTATTAATTGATTTCTTATTATTTGATATTTTTCTTCGTTTTTTCCTTCTAAATATTTTTTCTTCAATATTGAAAAAGAAATAATCAAATTAATGATCGTATAGGTGGATCAGGTTTATGTTCTGGTTTAGCAAAGTGCGCTAAACTCTCAAATTTGGTAATTGATATTAGGTAAAAACAGTTTTTTTTAGGATTGTGATATTTTGAAAATAAAATTTTTATTTTGCCAACATTTAAACATACATTTATATTATTTATTGATTTAAAATATAATATTTTTTTTTTCAATTTTTTTATTTTTTTAGTAATTTACATTAATTTCTATTAAAAGTGATAACAATTTGTACACATTTTACTCGAAAGTAAAGTGCTTTAAAGCAAAAAGATTAGTTGACTTAAAAATAAGATTTAAATGGTATTGAAATAAAAAGAATCAAGATAAATATATTAGAATACTTCTTTAATATTATATGTTTTATATTTTAATTTCTGTTATCATATAAATTAACCTAAAATATAGATAAATAGATTTATTATTATTTTTATAAATATCATATTTTGTTAAGTTAATAAATAGCTTTTCAAACAATACAAAATTTAAGAATTAAATTTACTGAAATAAAGTAATTCCTCTAACCAATAGATTTTACCAAAAATTATCAAAGCTTATATAAATTGCTAGTGTAATACTATTTCTTATTAAATTATATATATTTAAAGCTTTTATGACACAAACATAAATAAAATGAATTAATAAAGGAAATTAATATTATTTAAAACGTTACTAAAGATTAAATAAAAATGATATTTTATAAAATATTTAAAAAATAATTAATATTTAGATATACCTTAATTCCTCGTTAATTCTCTCCAACCCCCTCCCCCCACCCCACCCACCACAATCTTTTTAATTTATTATTAGGGAAATTAACTTCAATTTATATTATTAGACAAATAATCACCAAATTAAAATAAATTATAATTTAAAATATTCCAATTAAGTTTTTATTGGAATCTAAACCAATAAATTTTTCAATTGGCATATTGCAAAAATAGAATAAATATAAATTAAATTTATGTATAAATTTATAAATTAAAAATAATTATTTTTACTATGAAATAAAGATGAAACAAATCCTTAAAATTTAATTGCTTCATTTTACAAAAAAATTAAAAATGATAACTTTTATATTTGAGCTCATATAAAATTTGTCTCTGCTCACAAGTGTTCTTTTTTTAACAAGTAAAAATTTAAGCATTACTTAAAATATATATTGGAAGCTGCTGACATTTAATTATGATATAGGAGAGTGTTTACTAAATCTCTAAATAAAATTTTAATATTCTACTATTAAATATATCAATTTGTTATAGCAAACAAACAAGCTATTTAAATATTTTTCAAATAAATTAATTATTAAAATTCTGAAAGTAGAAATAAATAGTAAATTAATTAATAATTAAATAAATAGATAGATAGATAACGATGAAAATATTATAGCTTGACTTATTTTCTTCAGAGTTTTATTTTAATTTATAAGGATAGTAATTTAGGAGGGGTACATTTGTTGGATTATTATTGTCTGTATCATCTGTATGCTGCGTTCTATTTTACTTCATTTATTTGCTTAATTTATATATAAATAACTAAATTGACCCAAAATTTAGATCTCAAAGTTTCATTATGGATAAAAGGATAGAAATACCTTTAAACTAAGACCTTGTAGGATTTTAATACTTCTTTAACAGTTCTTTAAATGTAGATTAATATCAAAAACAGTAAAATTAAACTTATTTAGTTTATGTAGCTTAGTTTTATTATGAAGACCCAAATAATAATTTGTATTAAACAATTTATCTTGATGTAATTGATTGCACGAGTCCTAATCTTGTTGGCTTCTATTGTTTAGATTTCTCTAAAATTAATAACTACACTCTTGCTCTGGACAATTCTAAAAATATATATTCTTCAATATTTATTAATGTTTATGGCTGCAGAGATTTAGACGGAGTAAAAACAACTATTCCAAATAATTGTGCCTCTTAGTGATATAGATCAGTTTATTAATGGGATAGATGGCTATTTCAATCTAAAAATGTACGTAGAGTAATATAACACAACCTCAAAGCAAATTTAATCTAATTTTAGAAATATCTACGTATATGTATAATCAAGTTAATGCATTGTTAGCAATTTAAAAACTTAAAAGCAACAGACCCAAGTAGCAAAAGGACTTATTTTTTAAACTTCAGAAACTTACTAATCTCCTATTTAATATACTTAATCTAACTAAAATTTTGATAGGTAATAATCTTTATAATAAGGTATAGGTCCATATGCACAAGCTTCAATTGAATTAGATGAAATTGAATAATAATTTGTAATTTAATTTCCTACAATAACTGAAATTTTGGCTCTTGTTAATAGCATTACTTCTATTATTATAATTTCAAGAATTTTAGGAAGATTTTACTCATTTAGAATAATGAGATAAGATTTTTTTATGTTGATTTTCAGAAATATTTTTTAAGATCAAAATGAATAAATACTTCGCCATAATAACATATTAGTAAAACAGTAAGAGACATAGTTATTAACTAATATCAAGAAAGAAGAAGATATTTAAGAAATTTAAAAGAAAGATAAAAAAAACATTGTTCCTAATTTCAAAACTAAGTTTAAATAATATGTTGACCAAGAAAAAATGAATGAAAATTAAAATAACTTCTTGAGTTTCTAAAATTAAATTCTTAGCGAAAGTGAAGAATAAAAAGATGATATTTTTAGTAGCTAAGGAGATAACTTTAATTCTAATAATTAAATTAATTAGTTATAAAATTTTTCAAATAAAATTAATATTTTAAGAAGCTAATCAATTTTTAAAAAGGGAGAACACAACTCGTAAGAAGCTTAATTATAGTAAGGTTAATTGAAGAAAAAATTGAAGACAACAAGAATAGAAATGAATCAAAATAAAGATTTTAAAAAGAATTTTACAGGACAATACTTTCTAACAAAAATAGATAGTTAAAGATTTACAAATAACGTAATTTCAGATAAATTGAAGACAATAAATGATAATTAAATTAAATAATCTGTATAAAATTTCATATTTAAATTTAAGTAAAATTAATTTGCTTTGAACACATAAAAATTAATTCTTTTTTTAGGCTTTTTAAAGCAAAAGAGTACTTATTTTCTAAAGGTATCAACGAAGAATCTTTAAGCAAAATAAAAAAAGAAGTAGAAAAGAGTTTAAATATCTATGAATTATTTAAAGATGTTATATTTTTGAAAAAAGCAATAATGATGCTATTAAGTGAGGATCAGTTAGCCGCTATCTAGCTTGTAAGTCTGACAGATAATTATCTGAACTTGAATTTATCTAGCGAAAACATACGAAATGATTACGAAAGTAAATTTTTTATTAAAATTATTTTATTGCTGAAGTTATGGAAAAAAATATATTTATTTTTTAATTAGAATTATCAATGAAATTAAATCACTATGAAAAGCAGTATTTGGCATACAAGTCTGAATAATTATAGATAGATTTTATAGAATAATTTTTTTCAAAATGTTAGGAAATTGATACTTAGAATGAAATAGATTAAAGAATAATATCTTCTATTAATTTAAATAATCTATGATAAAACATTTATTTTTTTATTTAAATTTATGGGGTAAATAAATAAATTCCTTTTAATAAAAATTTTTATTACTTCTTGCATGACTAGAAAATCAATTAAGTCAATTCTAAAATTTTTATTTGATTTCAACACCATAAAATCAAATTAAATAATATAATAAATATTAATATTTATATAACTATTTTTTAAAATAAATAATGTAATTTAAAATTATTAATTTTACTTAAAATAATTAAAAAAGGATTAAATGTCTAAATTTAATAAATTTATATTTATTTATTAAATTAATAGCTAATTCATCAAAATGTTTGCTATATTTACTCATCAGAATATGTATTTATGCTGAAAAAATTTTGCTTATTTATTTTTAGTAATGTTTTAATGATTGTAATATTAGTAAATTTTATTATGAAATATAATAAATTAACTTAAAAAGAAAAAATTACATTTTTAATTGATATTTGTCCTTTTTATTGATTGTTGGTTGTGAAAAGATTGTTTTGCTTTTTAATCATTATTTAATCAATTTAATAAATAATCTTAATTAACTTAAAATCAAAGTAGAAATCTAAAAATGTTTCTCTCAAAAATTATGTAGTTTGATCTATTTTCATCAGAGTTCTACTTTAATCTAGAAGGATAGCAAGTAAGAAAAGGAACACTTATTGGCTTAATATTATCTATGTTTGCTGTCTCCTGCATACTTTATTACTTTTTTTATTTGCTTAATTTATATATAAATAACTAAATTGATCCAAAATTTAGATCTCAAAGCTTTGTCATGGACCAAAGGATAGACATACAAATGAACTAAGATCTCGTAGGGTTTTAATTCTTTTAAAATGCTACTTTTAATCTAGACTAATATCAAAGAGAGTAAAACCAAACTTATCTGGTATACATTGCTTAGTTTTACTATCAAGATCCTAATAGTAATATTCTTCAAACTCTATATCTTGATGTGATTTAATGCTCTAACCCTTAATTAGCTGGCTTTTATTGTTTGGATTTTTCTAAAATTGATAACTATACTCTAGCTCTCGACAATTCTAACAATGTTTTTTCATAGATATTTATTAATGTTTACGGTTGTAGAGATATAGATGGTATAAAAACAACAATTCCAAACAACTGCGCTCCTTAAAGTGATATAGATTAATTTGTTAATGGAATAGATGCTTATTTCAATTTGAAGATGTAAGTTTAGTAATATAACACTACTTCCAAAAAAATTTAAACAAATTACAGAAATTTTTTTATATTTGTATAATCAAGTTAGTGTATAATAAACATTTTAAAGACCTAAAAACAATAAACTTAAGTGAGTAAAGGGTTAGTTTTTTAAAGCTAAGAAACTTACTAATCCCCTATTTAATATACTTAATCTTCCTAAAATTTTGATAGATAAGATTCTTTAATTTAAGGACTTGGACCATATACATAAGCTTCTATTGAATTAGATGAAATTGAGCAGTAATTTATAATTGAATATCCTTCCATCACTGAAATTCTGGCTCTTGTTAATGGTGTTTCATCTATCATTGTAGTTTCAAGAATTTTAGGAAGATTTTACTCACTTAAACTTCTAAAACAAGAGTTTTTTATGCTAATTTTTAGAAATATGTTTCAAGAAAAAAATGAATAAATACTTCACCATAATAAAATTTTAGAATAGAAATACGATACACAATTCTTAAACACTTGTAAGAAGGATGAAGAGGTAATTAAAGACAGCTAAGAGAAAGTGAAAAAAAAAGATATTGTTATCCCTAATATAAAAACAAAATTTAAAGCTTTTGTAGAGCAGAACTAAATCAATATTGAGAACAAAAGTATTTAGCTTAATTTGCAAAAATAAAATGATTAGGAAAACGATAATTAAAAAGATGATATTTTCTTCATAGGTAGCTAAACAGAGAGTTTTGTTTTAAAAGATTAATATAACAGATAAAATAGCTCACCAAATACATTTAATAATAGAAATGAGCAATTCTAAATTACCTAATAGCTTAATAATAAGGACTCTTAATAAAAATTTAGAAATTCTAACTTTAAAAGCAATATTCAATCTTTAAAAAATGAATCTAAATTTAATTCTTAAAATACAATTACTTTATCTAAAACTGAAAATTTTGGAGCTCTAAACGATCATATTTAGTAAAAGCTGAAGGCATTAAACAACAACTCTATGAAAAGCTATATATAAAGCTTTATATTTAGATTTAAGTAAGTTTATTTAATTTACAATAAGTTAAAAATAATTTATTTTATTTATATTTGTAGATTATTTAAAACAAAAGAATTCCTACTATCTAAGGGTATTGATTAAATGTAATTAAAAAAGATAAGTAAAGAAGTTTAAAAGAGTTTAAATATTTATGAGATGTTTAAAGACATTATCTTTTTGAAAAAAGCAATTATGATGCTGTTAAGCGAGGATTAGTTAGCTGCAATTTAGCTTGTAAGTCTAACTGATGATTATTTGAACTCAAATAATTTAGAAAGTAAATTTACTTATTAAATTTTAAAATAATTTATAAAAAGTGAATGTAAAAATTAGAATCGATGAAATTAAATCACTTTGAAAGACAGTATTCGATATACTAATCTTAAGTATTATAAAAGAAATACATTGATACATTCTTTTAAAAATATAATGATTCCAAAGAAAGCAATTAAATTGATTAACGAATAATCTCTTCAATTATCAAATAATAATGAAAATTATTTTAAAACAAAAATTAATTAAATAAAATAATAATATTGATTAACATTGTTATCTATATATTTTTATATATTGTTAATCTTTATGAAATTTTATAATTATTCTGAAATATATATTGTTAAAGTATTGATCAGATCTAAATTTCTGTTCTAATGGTAATTTTTGATCAATCTTAGTGATAATCCTTCTCATTATTGATTCTGATATAGGAATAGTCCTATTTAGCAGTCTAATAATGCTTTTGATTAAATTATTGCCACACTTATAAAGAGTTTTGACTCTTATTTCTTTAATTCATTTTTATTATCATATTACTTCAATATTTTTCATCAAAAATTAAAATAATTAATTTATTTATTATTTTTTTTTATTTTGTTGATTTTTTCAACAGACAAACGTAACTTTGAGCAATTAACTATTTTTCTAATGAGCATGAGAAGTAGTATTGAAATAAAAATAAGGAATAGAAATCAATTACAATAAAAGTTATAAATAATATAAATATTTTTTGCAAACAACGCGATACCCCCTGTAAATAAACTAAATATTTTATTTACTTCCTTTGAAACTTAAATAAAATAATGGGGGAGGGGGGTGTCTAAATACAGGAAAAATGAAAAAAATGAATAAAATCGAGGAAGAAATATTATGAGATTATTTAAAAAATAAAAGCTTACATTAAACAATAAATTACAATTTTTATTTATTATTTATTAATCAATCAATTATTTTTAATCTTATGTTAGTTAATAAATAAAAAATGATCCATTTTAGTAAATTCAGTCTATATTAAATTTTACTAATCTTTTTATTTTTTAAGCTAATCTTTTGATTTCCGTTTTTCTTTATTCAGGTAATTCACTTTTTTAGATAAATAAAAATATTATTTAAATTAATTAATTTTAAACAAAAAAAAGTAATTACTTTATAGATAGATTCAATAACTTTATATTTTTACAGTTGATAATTTCTCTGGATTTTAGAAAATTCTCATTATTACTTATAAAATAAAGGCATTTTAAATAACATTTTAAAAACTTTAATATTTTTTTTTCTAAAGTTAAAATAAATGAAATTTACTCTGAGCTAAAAATTAAATTTGTAAGTTAAGTGCAGTTGTTCAAACCTAATCCAATATTTTATGCTCCTTTATCACTGATTTTATTACCCCTTTTCAAACAATATAAATTAATTTATTAACTATTTCAATTTAAATCAAAATAAAAAAGATAATTCAAACTTTTTTTAATTATCAATAAATAAATATAAAATTATTTTACTTTATGTATAATTTGAGATTAGTTAGGAATTTGCAATTACTAAGTGCTGTAATAATAGTAGAAGCTCCATCATCTCCAATTTAATTTTAGCTTTTATAAATGCAAATAATGCTTAATTAAAAATATAAGACATTTTATAAATTTAATTTTTTTTAATTCAGTTTGAATAAAAAGTTTTGAAATAATTTTTTAAAAAGTTATAAATAATATAAATTTACTTTATTTCAAATTCTAAATTTGTAAGTCCAGTGCAGTTACTCAAGCCTAATCCAATATTTTATGCTCCTTTATCACCAATTTTATTTTGACTTTTCAAAAATTTGTTTTGAAATTTTAATAAAAAAATATAAAATAATTCAAATAGTTATTAATTAATAAATATAAAATTATTTTACCAAATGTAAAATTTGAGGTTAGTTAGGAATTTATAGCTACCAAACGTTGTTCCAATAGTAGAAGCTCCATCATCCCCAATTTAATTTTAGCTTTTGTATAAGTAAATCACATTTTATTAAAAATTTAAAACATTTTATAAATTTAATGTTTTTAATTCAGTTTGAATAAAACACTTTGAAATAATATTTTTTAAAAGTTATAAATAATTTAAATTTACCCTATTGCAAATTCTAAATTTGTAAGTTGAGTGCAGTTACTCAAGACTAATCCAATATTTTATGCTCCTTTATCACCTATTTTATTGCCCCTTTTCAAAAAAGTAAATTAAATTATTAAATATTTAAATTTGTTTTGAAATTTAAATCAAAAATATATAAAATAATTAAAACTTTTTTTTAGTTATCAATGAATAAATAAATAATTATTTTACCAAATGTAAAATTTGAGACTAGTTAGGAATTTACAATTACCAAGTGCTGTACCAATAGTAGAAGCTCCATCATCCCCAATTTAATTTTAGCTTTTATATATGCAAATCACATTTTATTAAAAATTTAAGACACTTTATAAATTTAATTTTTTTTAATTCAGTTTGAATAAAACTCTTTGAAATAATATTTTTTTAAAGTTATAAATACTATAAATTTACTTTATTGCAAATTCTAAATTTGTTAGTTTGGTGCAGTTACTCAAGCCTAATCCAATATTTTATGCTCCTTTATCACCTATTTTATTGCCCCTTATCAAAAAAAGTAAATTAATTTATTAACTATTAAATTTTGAAATTTAAATCAAAAATAAAAAAAATAATTAAAACTTTTTTTTAGTTATCAATGAATAAATAAATAATTATTTTACCCAATGTAAAATGAGAGACTAGTTAAGAATTTGCAATTACCAAGTGCTGTACCAATAGTAGAAGCTCCATCATCCCCAATTTAATTTGAGCTTTTGTATATGTAAATCACGTTTTACTAAAAATTTAAGACATTTTATAAATTTAATGTTTTTTAATTCAGTTTGAATAAAAAGCTTTGATTTTTTTATTAATCATAAATGAAATAAATTTACTTTATCTAAAATTCTAAATATTTAAGTTGAGTGCAGTTACTCAAGCCTAATCCTATATTTTATGCTCCTTTATCACCTATTTTATTGCCCCTTTTCAAATAAAAGTAAATTAATTTATTAATTATTTAAATTTGCTTTGAAATTTAAATCAATGATATATAAAATAATTAAAACTTTTATTAGTTATCAATTAATAAGTAAATAATTATTTTACCAAATGAAAAATTAGAGACTAGTTAGTAATTTGCAATTACCAAGTGCTTTACCAATAGTAGAAGCCCCATCATCCCCAATTTAATTTTAGCTTTTGTATATTTAAATCATGTTTTACTAAAAATTTAAGACATTTTATAAATTTAATGTTTTTCAATTCAGTTTGAACAAAAAGTTTTGAAATAATATTTTTTAAAAGTTATAAATAATTTAAATTTACCCAATTGCTAATTCTAAATTTGAAAGTTGATTGCAGTTACTCAAACCTAATCCAATATTTTATGCTCCTTTATCACCAATTTTATTTTCCCTTTTCAAACAAAATAAATTAATTTATTAACTATTTAAATTTGTTTTGAAATTTAAATCAAAATAGATAAAAAAATTCATATAGTTATCAATAAATATATATATATAATTATTTTACCAAATGCTAAATTTGAGATTAGTTAAGAATTTGCAATTACCAAGTGCTTTACCAATAGTAGAAACTCCATCATCCCCAATTTAATTTTAGCTATTATATATGCAAATCATGTTATATTAAAAATTTAAGACATTTTTTAAATTTAATGTTTTTTAATTCAGTTTGAATAAAACGCTTTGAAATAATATTTTTTAAAAGTTATAAATAATTTAAATTTACCTTATTACAAATTCTAAATTTGTAAGTTGAGAGCAGTTACTCAAGCCTAATCCAATATTTTATGCTCCTTAATCACCAATTTTATTTTGACTTTTCAAAAATTTGTTTTGAAATATAAATCAAAATATATAAAATAGTTCAAATAGTTATTAATTAATAAATAAATAATTATCTTACCAAATGTAAAATTTGAGATTAGTTAGGAATTTATAGTTACCAAACGCTGTACCAAAAGTAGAAGCTCCATCATCCCCAATTTAATTTTAGCTTTTATATATGTAAATCACATTTTATTAAAAATTTAAGACATTTTATAAATTTAATTTTTTTTAATTCAGCTTGAATAAAACGCTTAGAAATAATATTTTTTTAAAGTTATAAATAATTTAAATTTACCTTATTACAAATTCTAAATTTGTAAGTTGAGTGCAGTTACTCAAGCCTAATCCAATATTTTATGCTCCTTTATCACCTATTTTATTGCCCCTTTTCAAAAAAAGTAAATTAATTTATTAACAATTTAAATTTATTTTGAAATTTAAATCAAAACTAAAAAAAATAATTAAAACTTTTTTTAAGTTATCAATGAATAAATAAATAATTATTTTACCAAATGTAAAATTTGAGACTATTTAGGAATTTGCAATTACCAATTGCTGTACCAATAGTAGAAGCTCCATCATCCCCAATTTAATTTTAGCTTTAATATATGAAAATCACGTTTTATTAAAAATTAAAGACATTTTTTTAAATTAAAGTATTTTTAATTCAGTTTAAATAAAAAACTTTTCAAAAATAATAAATAAAATATACCCTATGTTAAATATTAAATTAGTAAGTTGAATACAGTTACTCAAACCTAATCCAATATTTTATGCTCCTTTATCACCTATTTTATTGCCCCTTTTTAAGAAAGTAAATTAATTAATTATCTATGAAATTTAAATTAAAATATATATAATAATTCAAATTTTTTTTAGTTATCAATAAACTAATATAAAATTATTTTACCAAATTGAAAAGTTGAGATTTGTAAGGAATTTACAGTCACAAAGTGCTTTGCCAATAGTATAAGTCCCATCATCCCAAATTTAATTTTAGCTTTTATGCAAATCAAGTTTAATTAAAAATTTAAGACATTTTTTTAAATTAAAGTATTTTGAATTTAGTTTAAATAAAAAAATAATAAATAAAATTTACCTTAAATCAAATATTAAATTTGTAATTTGAGTACATTTTTTTAAGCCTAATCCAATATTTTAGGCTCCGTCATCTCCAATTTTATTTCCACTTTTCAAATAAAATAAATAGTTAAATTAATTATTTAATTTTCATTTATAATTTAATAAAAACATAAACTTAATCTTACTAAATCCAAACTTAGAGATTTACAAGGAATTTACAGCTACCAATAGCACTACCAATAGCAGAAGCTCCATTATTTCCAATTTAATTCAATCTTTTATTAATAAAATAATAAATAAATAAATATATCCATCCATACATACACAAATAAAAAAACTAATAAATTAAAATTTTTAAAATTTAAGTTGAATAAAAATGAATAATTTAAATTTAAAAAAAATATTTACTCCATTTGAATATCTAAATTCTTAAGTTGATTACATTTACTCAAACCTAATCCAATATTTGATGCTCCCTAATCAGAGATTTTATTTTGCCTTTTCAAATAAAATAAATTAAATTATTAACAAACTTATTATTTTAAACTAATCTTAAAAATAAAAACTTCATTAAGTTTTTTTTAGGCTATCAAAATTGTAAAATTAAAATTACCTAAGACAAAATTTTAAACTAATAAGTAACTGTAAGTTACTTAATGCTATTCCAAAACAATAAGCTCCTCCATCCCCAATTTAATTATTACTTTTATAATAAAAAATAATATGCTATTAAATAAATTTATTATGCTTTATTTGATTAATTTAAAAAATATTAAAAATAAAAAAATGAAAAATAAATCAAAATTAATTACCATAGTGCAATTTTTAAATTCTTAAGTAATTAACAGCTACCTAGTTCTTAACAGATAGCTGATGTTCCTTCTTCTCCAATTTAATTGTTACTAATAAAACATAAGATAATATATAAATAAAAATTACTGACAACTAAAAAAATGTTTAAAGATTAAATAGATTAAAAAATTTATTAAATTGTCTAAAATTAATTTAAATTTATCCTTAAAAAAAAGTAAAATTAATTAATTACGAGAGGTTAATATCTAGATGAGTCAACATTTTACAACTACTTAATATCTTACTTATAGAAAATGCACCTTCTTTTCCAAATAAATTAGCACTTTTTAAGTTTTTATTTACAATTAGATGTAAAATTATATTGAAAAATAATTTTTTTATTTATTAACGATAATCAATAAAGTTTACACTGCATTTAAAGTTAAAGTTGTGAGTTTAGTACAACTACTAATACCTTCTGCAATACTCAATATCCCTCTGTCACCTATTTTATTTTTCCTTTCCAAAAAAATATATTTAATAAACAATTTATATGATTTTTTAACAATATAATAAATATAACTGAATAAATTTAATAGAATTGAAATAAAATTACCAAAGCTGCAGATTTAAGTTACTAATCGTTTAGCATCTATGTAATAATTCGCAAATCCAAATTACACCTCCATCTCCTAATAAATTTCCACTTTTATTATAAAATAATATTGAATTTATTTTATTTTAGATAACGGAAAGTTGTAATGAGTTTTGAAAGATGAACTTAATTATATTAAAAAATAAATACATAAATTAAAAAAGGTTTACTCTAAATTTAGCTATAAACTGTTAAGATTAATTAGATTGCTCATAGTTTCTTCTAATAGAATATTTCCTTAAGCTTCAATATCATTTAATCTTTCAAATTAAAAATAAATCAATCAAATACCAATAGTTAGTTCTATTTTACCTAAGCTCTTGAAAATCTTCAGATCCTTTGTAAAAAATACTTTGGAAAAACTAAATTTGACAATATATTTAATCATTGCTATTTAAATAAAATTAAAAAAAACTATTATTTTAATTTATTTAAATGATTAAATCAACATATAAACTAATATTTTTTTTAATATAATTTAAAAAGCAAAATTATAACTTTTAGCTTTTTATAAATGGTAGAAATAACTAGGGTTATAAGATAATGTTATAATTTATTAAACAACTTATTCGCTATATTAGGATATATTTAAATTAAAATAAATTTACCTCACATTATTATCAGTTTCAACAAAGTCCTTTATGTAGGAATATTAATTAAATAATTGACTTATCTAATCATCTGAAATATTTTCTTTACTATATTTCAAATTGATAATAAAAATTAATTATGCATTTTAAGATAATAAAGTTAAATGATTACTTAAGATTTAATACTAAAGATTCTAATTTTTAGCATTATACTAAAGAATTGTTAAGCTAAGCAACTTATGTATTGTTAAGAGTACAATTTCTATTTATTTTATAAATAATAACAAAGGAATTTAATTTATGAATAAATTAACGAATGAATGAAATTTTATTTATTTTTAATTTTACAATAAAAAAGAGAAAAAATTTTAAAATATTTATTTTTTTTAAAAAAACATTGTTTGTTTTGAAAAATTTATAATTAAATATGAATGAATAAATATTTATATTGATCTATCTCTTACTTTAACTGTAAGTCAATACTAGTTAGAGCTTTCAAGTCAGATTTCATTAACTTTTTTATTTAAAAAAAAGATTTTATAATAATAAATAAAATTAATAATGATGAATACATCTTATAGAATATTTAAAGAGTTATTCTATTACTCCATTTTTTTTTATATATTTGCCATTTATGTTTCTTTGATTATTTGTTAATTAATTAATTATGATCAGAAATTAATAATTTTCATAATCTATATACTTATTTAATTTTTACAGATTCTCCTTTTTTAGCTCCCATAAATAAATATATTAACACCAATTTTTTAATTTGAATTAATTAACACCTAAAAATTTAAAAACCAAAAATAATTTTAATTAAAAAAAGAAAAAAATAATACATAAACTGCCATTTAATTAATCAAACATTTATATATTAACATTTTAAATATATAATAAAATATTTATATTCTATTATTTAAATATTTAATATTTATTCATCCTTTTTTCGTCACTTGTTTATTATCATGAGAAATTTATTTCAAATACAACTAATCTTTTAGATTTAAGACACTTACTTTTTACTTTCAATTGATACGATTCAAATATTTAGTTATAACTTTTATTATCATTATGAGTAAATTTCAAAAAAATATTAAATTAAAATTTATTTCTTAAATTAATATATAAAAAAAAATAAGTTGAGTAAAAAATGTAAAGAAAAATAAACCAAATAAAAAGTAATCAAATAAATTAAAAGAGCTTTATTTTTTTAAATTAGCATTTATAATTAAAATTATCATAATCCAAAACAAATAAACTCTTTTTACCAAAGATCAAGTTTCAAATTTAAGAGATTAGTGCAATTATTTAAAGCAGTACCTAAGCCTAATGCACCAATTGCACCAATTAAATTGATACTTTTTAAATATTGTAGAAAAAATATATAATTAATAAACTAATTAGAAGGAAAAAATAAAGAAAAAGTATGAAATGATAAGATTAATTAATTAATAATAAAAGCAAAAGTTAAAAATAAAATAATGAGTTAAATTAACAAAGAAAGAACAAAAAAAAGCAAACACAATAAAAATTAGAGGAAAAGTAAATCAAATAAATTAAAAGAATTATATTGTTATAAATTAGTTTTATAATAAAAAATATCACAATCCAAAACAAATAAACTGTTTTTACCCAAGTTTAAGGGTCAAATTTGAGAGATTGATGCACTTTGCTAAAGCAGAACCTAAGCCTGTTGCACCCATTTCACCAATTTTATTAATACTTTTTAAATATTAGAGAAAAGATATTTAATTAATTAGTTTATTAGAAGGAAAAAATGAAGAAAAAATATGAAATAATAAAATTAATTAATAATAAATGCAAAAGTTGAAAATAGAATAATGAGTTAAATTAACTAAGAAAGAAGAAAAAAAGCATGCACAATTAAATGAAAAATAAATTAAAAATACTTTAAAGTTTTAAATTAGTTTTTATAATTAAAAATATCATAAATCCAAAACAAATAAATTCTTATTACCATAGGTCAAGTGTTAAATTTGAGAGATTAGTACAATTGGCTAATCCAAAACCTAAGCTTGATGCACCAACTGCACCAATTTAATTGACTCTTTTTAAATATTGAAGAAAAAATAAATAATTAATTAGTAAATTAGAAGGAAAAAATGAAGAAATAATATGAAATAATAAGATTAATTAAAAAGAAAATCAAAAGTTAAAAATTAAATAATGAGTTAAATTAATAAAGAAGGAAGAAGAAAAAAAAGCAAGCACAATAAAAAATAAAAAAATAAATCTAATAAATTAAAAGAGCTTTATTGTTTTAACTTAATTTTTAAAATGAAAAACATCACAATACAAAACAAATAAACTCTTTTTACCCAAGGTCAAGTGTCAAATTTGAGAGGTTAGTGCAATTTGCTAAAGCAGAACCTAAGCCTTATGCACCAATTGCACCAATTTAATTTTCCCTTTTTAAATGTTGAAGATAAAAAAAAATTAATTAGAAGGAAAAAATGAAGAAACAATATGAAATAATAAGATTAATTAATAATAAAAACAAAAATTAAAAATAAAATAATTGAAAAAAAGAAGAAAAAAAGCAATCACAATAAAAAGAAAAATAAATAAAATAAAATAGCTTTATTGCTTTAAATTAGTTTTTATAATTAAAAATATCATAATCCAAAACAAATAAACTCTTTTTACCCAAGGTTAAGTGTTAAATTTAAGAGATTAGTACAATTTGTTAGAGCAGAACCTAAGCTTGATGCACCAACTGCACCAATTTAATTTTCACTTTTTAAAAGTTGAAAAAATAAAAAATTAATTTGTTAATTAGAAGGAAAAAATGAAGAAATAATATGAAATAATAATATGAATTAATATTAAATTAAAAGTTGAAAATAAAATAATGTGTTAAACTCAAAAAAAAAAAAGAAGAAAAAAAACACAATAAAAAAAATATAAATCAATTAAATTAAAAGAGCTTTATTGATTTAAATTAATTTTTATAATAAAAGATATCACAATCCAAAACAAATAAACTATTTTTACCTAATGTCAAGTATTAAATTTGAGAGATTAGTGCAATTTTCTAAAGCAAGACCTAAGCTTGATGCACCAACTGCACCAATTTAATTACGACTTTTTAAATATTGAAAAAAAATATATAGTTAATTGGTTAATTATAGGAGTTAAATTAACAAAGAAAAAAGAAAAAAAAAGCAAGCAAAAGAAAAAGAAAATCAATCAAATAAATTAAAAGAGCTTTATTGTTTTAAATTAGTTTTTATAATAAAAAATATCTCAATCCAAAACAAATAAACTCTTTTTACCGAAAGTCAAGTATCAAATTTGAGAGATTAGTACAATTTGCTAAAGCATAACTTAATCCTGATACATCTTCATCACCAATTTAATTGCAGCTTTTTAAAGATTATGATGAATGAATGCTGTTAATTCTCATATTTTAATACCCCTTCCCCACAATTTTAAAATGAAAATTTAGGTGTTAAAGCCATATTTTTTCTAAAGAATTTAATTAGGAGTGGCCTTAATTAATGAGGAATTACAGTAATTAGTTAATTAGAAGGTAGAAATAAAGAAAAAATATGAAATAATAAGATTTATTAATAATAAAAGCAAAAGTTGAAAATAAAATAATAAGTTAAATTAACAAAGAAAGAAGAAAAAAAATTAAGTACAATAAAAACAAAAAGAAAAATAAATCAAATAAATTAAAAGAGTTTAATTTTTTAAATTAATTTTTATAATTAAAAATATCATTGTCCAAAGCAAATAAACCGTTTTTATCAGTTAGTGCTAATAGCAAAAATTGAAAAAAAATATAAAATAATAAAAAATTAAGAATGAATAATGAATAATGAATAATTAAAAATTGAAATGAAAATTAAGTTAAAATTGCAAAAAAATATTTGTATAAATAAAATCAATGAATTTTGATGTGAATTTCTATTAGAAAAATTATATAATAAATAAATTGAAAGTTAAATATATAAAAAATATTATAAAAACCACAAATTAAAAAATACTTTATATTAATATGGAGAACCTAATGAGATTAAAGTGAAGAGTTTAAAAACTTTTTTTATTAATATAAATAAATTCAAAGGATATTGTTAAAAAAATAAATAATTACTTCTTCTAATTCTTCATAATATTTAATCTATTATATCATTTATTTTTATTAAAAATATTCAATACTAATTTATGGAATTTAATTATAAATAGATAACAAAAGCAAATAAAATATGATAATTATCAAATATTAATTTATAAATTTGCTTTTATTAAGAGATATAATAAAAAAATTAATTTAACATTCATTATTAAATTTAATATTTTAAAGATTTTAATTTTTTTAAAACTAAATATAATCAAAAGCTAAATCTTAGTAAAGAATCATTAATTTATAAGAATTGTAAATATTTAAAAATATTTCAAATATATTTGATAAAACAATTATTTTTTGTTGGCTTTTATATAAATTGAACAAATAATAAATATTACTAAAATTAACAAAAATATCTAATTTAAATGAATAATTTTTTTTTAATAGTATTAATTAAAAAATAATATTTTATCAATCATCATCGCTTTCTTTTTTCATTTCTATATTCACCTAATCTTCTTTTAATGTTTCTCCAAAGGCTTCAATATAAAATTTGCTTTTAGGTTTTTCTTCAGTGCGAGAAGTATTTGTTTAGTTATTTTCATTTTGTATCAAATTATTATCAGAATCTTGCTTTTTATGTAAGTTAAAAAGAGATTCTAGGTTGTCTTTCTATTTATTATCTCTTAAATTTGTATCTTCCTTTTCTTATTGTATAAGTTTTGATGACTCTAAAAAGTTTGCCTCTGTTTTTTGCTGAGTAGGATTCTCTTGATCTACTAGTTATTAAAATTAGCTTCTGTCAAAAATATGTCTATACTCTTCAACTATTGTTGTTTAAGAAATTTATTTAACTTAATTTTGCATTATAATAATGAATATACTTACCTAGTCTCAGTTCATATGCTTCGATATATATTTTTTTCTTTTTTTGAGGGTCTAATGCAGCGAATTTTTTACATAAAAATAATAACTTTTCCTTGACTTCAGGTTTCATTTATTTCTTGTTTTTTTCTTCATCTTTGACAAACTTCTTAAAGTATGATATTTTTGCTGATAAAGTCTTAACCAATTATTATAAAGATTATTTGATCTTTGGAAGATAGCCACCTATGATTTTATTTAGAAGCTTGATAAGGAACCAAGCATTAATGGCCACAATCAGTACTAATGCACTGTATACAAAGTAGGGGTATTTATTTTAGTACATAAATAAACCAAGAAGGACTGTTAGAGCACATATATGAGTAGAATTAACATCAATTTCATTTACATCTGATTCTAAGTATGGATGAATTATCATTGCAAGTAAACCATAAGATGTGATTACTACAAATACCAATATAGCTTTTGTATTTATACTTTAAGAATAAAAGTTCAAAGCAAGAATGATTGCTAGTTTCTCAGCCATTTTAATGAATTCCCAGTAAAATGCATGGGTTTGATATTCTTTATATAGAAAACCATACTTAAGCTTCACTTCTATAGAATCTAAATTTTGTCTATTTCTTCTCAATAATATAAATAGTATACCTGGCAATATGATCATCCAAATCAGCAGCATTGGTACTATTAAAATCAGAGCATAGAAAATATGTTCTTTGTTATAGCAAATAAATGAAACATTAGACAAAATATATTCTGTATCACCTATTTCTCTACACGATAATAAGGCAATTATTTAAGCAACTAGATCTGGCTGAACGTATATAATTAAGAACATAATAGCTGTAGCTAAAATATACCAAGGAAACTACTCTTTTTTGCTATTATTCTTATCGGCTGTCGACTTCTTATATAAAAAGTATAAAAGCATACAAAATAAGAAAATTGCCATATATATAAAGGGTATTAAAACAGAAAACAGAAGCCTTAAATAAATAATTGGTATTGAAGAGTTCATTTCTTGCAATGCACAGTCAAGAGAGTTCATTGTCTACTTCAACGGTTAACCAACAGATTAAGGGAACTCAAAAATACCTATAATAAAAAAAAATTAATTAAAATACAATTTTATGAAAAAAATAAAAAAATTATACCAGAAGGAATACTTAAATTGAAAGTTGCTATAGATCCAACAATCTATACATAATTTGTTAACATTTTTATGTATACACCAGATTTTTCTTCATCTGTTCTTATTATCTTTTATTTTTATTACCTTTCCTTTATTTAATTTTATGTTTTTTATTTAGTAATAGTACTAAAAGACTATAATTCTGTTTTTTGATTTGGAGTTAGATTTCTTTATAAATATTTATTACTACATTTTTTTTATAAATTTTTTTAAATAGTCAAAAAAGCAGCTCTTTCTTTTAGCTAATCTACATCACCTTTTATAGCAAGACACATTGATATTAATGTCCATATTGTCATTAAGACAACGATCCATATATTCCCTTTTATTTCACTACATTTAGTACAAGAATATTTAGATGATTTTGCATATGATTCTCCCCAATAATTCCCATAAATCTATTTTAATCAAATATTAATTTTTAAATTTAAAATTAATATAAATAAATAAATAAATTTGATAAAGGAATTACATCGCATTCTTCACAAAGTGCTCCAATATGACCTTCATAGCAAATATTATCACCATAATCTCCTCCAGCGCAATTATCCGGTAAATTTGAGCAACTAATTATTAAGCTACTAAAATGCGATTTACGCCAATATCCTTTATTTGCCACGACATTTGTTCCTCCATTACATGTAGCTCCTGTCGGACAATCTTAGCAATTCTCAACGTTGAATGAATAATAATTTACTGGGCATTATTAGCATTGAGTGACTTAACCAATTTATGCTATTTACTCACCAGGGCCGCATAGCCTGAAGTTAATAAGTATGTTAAAAGTGTAGTTTTGAATAAAATTAGCTTGCTAGCTATCAACAACATAAATTTATTTAGAGCTGAATTATATGTAAGCAGAAGATCCTGGCTTACCTACTAGAGTTATGTTTTCAAAATTAAAAGCTTGTAATTATTTATTATAACTTGCTTAAATGCTTCCATCAATCGAATACTGGATTATATTAGGTGTTTTAGGATCAAAAGCAACACTTAGTTTATATGTATCATAATCTTCTTATGTAATCGGATAAATAACTTCATCTTTGTCATTTAAAAGTACAAATTGTATATTAGTTAAATTGGCACCACTCCTGAAATCATTTATTACTATTTTGTTTTCCTCTAGCATTCCTAAGTTTATTTTCAGAAATTCATCCATATTACTTACTTTAAGCTTAGAAGGGTAAGAGATACTATCATTTCCATAAATGGTTCCTGTATTACTATCTATAATGTTATTTTTTTGAGTGTTAATTGAGATATTTTGTTAAAAGATTCCTCCTCCTATACTTGCTTAATTATGAATGATTTGAGAATTAACTATTTATATTGTTTATTTAAGAGAATTCATGACATCAGAATCAACATAAATAGCTCCTCCTCTAGATTTACATGAATTTTTAACAAATGAACTGCCTTAAAGAGTAAGATCAAATTTCTTTAAATAATTTTTGAATATTAAATTTAATTTAAAATAAAAATTTTAGATAATTTACATCCTACTATAAAGCTTTTAAGTAGAGAGCACCTCCATCATTTTAAGATATGCAACTCATAAACTATGTATTTGAAATGGTATTTGTATTGTTAATTCCTTCTATGTATATGGCCCCACCAAATGAAGACTTTATTAATATTCATTTTAGATTAAATAAATTAAAAATAAATTATTTTACATCTATTTTTTAAAATATGGTATCATCTATGGATATTGTACTTTATAAAAGCTAAATTGCTCCGCCATTGCAATTTGACTTACAACTTGTACCAATAAAAGAACTCTTTTATTATATGCTAACAGTTGATTATTAGCAAATAATTAAAGAAGCACCAATAGGACTAGGGTTAGAGTAAATATCTTATTATAAAGTTCTTCTGTTGGTTGCAGCTTAAACAACATTATTAAATGAGACATTTTGAAGTTAAATATTACTTTAAAGTGTATAAATTGCACTGTTAGTAAATACGCTATCTTCAAATTTGGTGTTAGAAATAGTAATATTAGATGAAGTTGAGCTAATAAGAAGAGGTAAAACAGAATTAAAGGATTAAATTTTGATGTTAGAAAATTTAGATTCTTAAATTTTCAAAGATGATTTTTATAAATTTACCAAAGTGGCTTATTATTAAAGTCCTTTATATTTTGTAATATATTATTATTAAGGTTCTGTATTTGAATCAAACTGTTCAGAGGTAATTGTGGGAATTTAACTAAATTAAAGATTAGAATTTGAAACATCTATGAATTAATTCTCTGTTACCCCAAATATATTTTTGATAAAACCGCCTTAGAATTTTATTTCATTTTAAACCTTACTTTTGCCTATCTAATATTTTCTAGATATTAAATTTAATAAAAATATTTTAACTATTATTGTTATATTTTATGAAATATTAAAGGTTTTTTAATCAAATCTTTAAAGGAATAAATAAATAAATAAATAAATACTCTTATCCAATAGTAGATGCGAACTATGATAGTGTATACAGATTACTAAATTAGCAATTTTGGCAGTCAAATTAGAGCTATTAACCACCTGAATCTATGTAAATTGCTCCTCCATCTAATAAGGCATATCCCTCGCTAAATGTTGTATCAGAGATGCTAACTTAAAATAATTATCCAAAAGAAATTAAGTATAAAAAAGATCCTTTTATGGCTGTAGCTTAGTTGAAATTTGATTTTTATATTTTAATAACTTCGGCTTTAGCATTCAACATAGCACCATTTTATTAGAACATAGGTGAAGTTTTATCTTGAGGAAATGTAAAATTTCTAAACTAAACAGTGTCTAAAGTAATCTAATTAGCTTGAATATAAATTAGGCCATATTCAGAATTACTATTAGAATTATAAAATTATGAATTCTTTATTAGAACATTTCCGACATAATTTTAAATCCAGAGAGCTGATGTAGAGTAAGTTAAGGTGAATTAAATACTTTGTAAAGTAATATTTTAAAATAAGCAATTATCAATTGTTATTTCTAAATTGTAATCACTTTATAATTGGAATGGTACTGCTTGAGTATTTTTTGAATTTTAATATAAAAGTAAATTTTAAAATACTCCATCTTTTAAATTTAGGATAGCTTATTAAATGTTGTTGTTTTACACTATCATTAGTATAGTGTCTTATGCTTTTTTATTAATAATTTTAATTTAATTTAAATTAATGGTTTAAATATCGATCAACTAGAGACATCCGTTTGTCTACTAATTAGGTATTTTAATTAAGTAATCATCGTCATTAATGCATTAAAAGATATTGTAAAATTGTTTGCATTTTAAAATAATCCTAATTTTATATCAAAATGATTAATCAACATGGTATTTGAAGCTGAAATTGTAGCTATTTTCATTGTTTAGAAGTATGAAGCTCCAATCAAATCATTATTATTTTTTGTTAATAAAGAATTATTTTTGAATTATATAACATCTAAATGTAATTCATGATTTGGATTGACTCTCATTGAATACAAAGCATCAAAGAATAAATACTCTGTTTTTGCTTAAAAGTAATTATCATAAACGTTTAAATCTTAAAAAGAAAAGACTTAATTCGTCTAATCTAGACTGGAGACACAAGAAAATATTATTTTCTTACAAAAAGTATTGTTATTCACTGTCATATTATTTACATTAAAATTCCCTGAAGAGAAAAGGGCAGATATCTTTTCATCATTATCTGGATCATCACTATTACTAGAACAGATGTTATTAGAAAGAGTAATATTTGAAGCAAGTACTTTGAGATCAGATTCTTAAGTTAATATACTAAAACTGTCGCCAAGAATACAATCAGTTAATGAAAAATTATTAAAATTTATCTAATAAATTTTATTTTTGAAAATATTTTTAATTTATCAATAAATAAATAAGTAAAAAGTAAATAAATAATAATTAATGAATTACATTTGTAACATTAAAGTATGTTAGAATAGATTTATGATTAGAGAAATCTTCATTAGAAATTGAATAATTAAATACATTTAAAATACTGCTATCAGAGTAAATAGACTAACAACTTTTAGGGGCACTTGTTTAAGTATAAAGATAGAGCTATATATTATTGATGTATACATTATTTTCTATATTAGCAAAATAAAGGCCACAATTACTGTTTTCATTGTCTAATCCAAAATAGATAATGATATCTTAAAATCCTACTTAATTATAATTTTGAAACTCTAAGAGATTTTAGTACTATAAAGTGGCGTATTATCCAGGTATTGAACTTTTAAAGTTTAATGAAATAATGCTATTGAAATCGAAATTCATAAACTTTGGATTTAAACCTAGAATGCTATGAGGTTTAACTAAAATATCAACGAACATATTTGAAACACCACTCACTATTTATTTGTAGTATTATGCCTATTAAATAAAAGTTTTTTATACTAAAAATTAAAATTATTTTTTTTTATTAAATTTTAAAAAATAATTTTAATAAATTTCTTTATGAAATAGGAGTATTTTATTTTAAATATATTAAAAAGAGTTATTTTTAATAATTTTTACTTACTTTTATTAGAAAAAATTTAATTATAAAACAATAATCAGTATGTTAATTTAAAATTACTTTGATCATTGCTGTTAGAAAATTATTTGAAGTAGTAAAGGGATAATCTACAGATCCAACACCATAAACACCATTTGAATCATATTATTCAGATGCTTCAAAATAATATTCTTGATTACATTGAGTACATAAGCTAGAATCTTCTAAGCAATCATTTAAGGAGTAAAATAAATTGCTAAAAGTAAATTAGACCCATATAGTATTATCTTTTAGGATTTCGATATGAATAATCTAATCTTATATCTTAGAAGATTATACATTCAAAAATAAATCAAAATTAGATGTTTATGGATTAAATTTGAAAATGTATGCAACTCCTGTATTGAAATCTCCGATTGCTACTAATTAATGGTTTGAAAAGGCCTTTAAAGCAGCAGGTTGTTAACTTAGTTAAACTAAATTTTGGAATTTTCCAGTAGTATAATCAATAGAATATACATTACTGTTACTACAAGATATGATTAATCTACTTACTGTCTCGTTGAAATAGAATATATCTCCAATTTATGATTTCTAACAAATACCTAATTAGATAGAAAATAATAAGATCAAATGCTTTAATTAGATTCTCTCATATCAATGTAATAATTAAAAAAACCAAATATTATTTTTGAGAAATTAATAAAATTCTTACTAAAATTTATGTAAAATTTGAAAGGAAAACCATCTTATCCTAAGTCCCAAGCGTAAATTGTTCCATAATTATCAACTCCTATAAGTTCTAGATTATTTGGGTTATCTAGAGAAGCAACCGCAAATGCAGTTTATATTGAGCTATCTGAAGTTTTATTAGATTTTAGATAGTATGATCGTTCATTTGAAGAAGTGCAATCTATCAACATGAATAAATAATCCTCTGTATTTTATTTTTAAGGAAATGCGAAAGCAACCCAATAAGTATCACCTAAGTAAAAAGGGTCTAAGTAAGAGTTTATGTTTATCCATTCTAAACCATACAAATCAGTAATATCGACAACCTAAAATATAAAAAAGTAAATTAGATAAATCTTAAGTTTATAGTAAATTAATAATAAAAATAATTTTTTACTGAGCCACGTTCCCCAAGAGGGTATATAGGGAAAACATAAATTTTGCTATTTTCATCATCTGCTCCAACTTTAACAAAGTAATAATCAAATTAATTTTTGATTTAGTAAAAGCTTCCATATCTCCATCTTACATTCTCATCAAATTAGCTCTTTTAGCTTAAAGAAGGAGAACCGAAATTTCCTTTATCATAAAGAAGGAGCTAATTACCTGATAAAAGGATGTACTGATCTTAACTTCCTTCAACTTATCTCATATATCTTCTGCAAAAAAGATCTCCATAAAAATCTAAATTCATTAATTAAAAAATTACTATTTAAAGCAAAAAATATTTAAAACTAATTAATTATTTACATAAATTTTTAGTAAATTCGTTTGTCTAATAGTTAAATATTGTGACAAAATCTCCAGATGAAATATAAATCATGGATGTTTCATTTATTACATACCATCTATACATTGTGTCGACTGCATAGCTTTCAAAGCCTCCTAATTTTAAAGAGGAATCATCAGCGCTTTCATTTAAAGTAATGCTATAAACATAGTAATTGTCTCCAGCCCAAAGAATTGGATTTAATTACCCATTATCTCCTAAGACTAAAGTATAATATAAATTAGTTATAGGATCTGTATATTAATTATCGTATAAGCCTAGTTATTACCAAAAAAATGAATGGGTTAGTTTTATAATTTAACCAATTTAAAAAGTATGTAAATATATTTTGGAAAATTAAAAAAATATTTTAATTTTTGAATTAAAAAAGTTTTACTCATAGTATCAAGAGTCTAGAATTGATTTGTCTAAATATCTATTAGTTTTACAACAATTATTTCTAGGTTCTATCCACCAAAAAAAAAGATATCCTTTGTTGGGTGCTTTTAGAATTATCTGAATTTGTCACCTTACTTTTTGACCTTAGCTTTTAATTAATAAAAAAACAAATAAAATTGTGTTAGAAGCTAATTTATTTAAATACATTATTCTATATATCCTATAAATTAATATGTTAAATTCTCAACATCGATTATCCAATATATGACACCCATATCATTAGTTGTTAAAATTATTTTTTAACCATTTTTTAAAGTGTATATTTTTGACTAGTATTGATAAGCTTTTGAACCATCGGGAGATTTTTCTAGAGTTTTCGAATTATCCATTGTAAGGACTGGCTTTTGCTGCATAAAATCATAAATTTACAATTAGTTATAAAATCTTGTCAAGATTATATAATTTGTCTCTTCAATTAAGAAAAGTCCTTGTAATTGAGGAATAGGAACAGAATAGACTGCTTTTAAAGTGTATGGGTCAGCAAAAACAAGACTATAATAGTTCGTTACCATAATTAATTCCAAATAAATATTATACTGCATATCAATGATCACATAATTAGCTTTTGAATAAGACGCAATAATAAAATATTTAAAAAGGCTCAATCAATAAATATTACGCTTTACTACGTTGATAATTTCTCCTGAGGAAGATGATAAATCGTTAAAATAAACAATATTGGAATCTTATAAATCATTATAAAGAGTGTTGATTACTAAAATATTTGTCTTAGGTATCCTAAGGAAATTTCTTACAACGAACCCAAGATTGACAACTGGATCTATTATTTTAGTAATTTAATTAAACATAAATAAACAAATATTTACGAAAAATACTTACTGTGATAAGTTTAAAGTAGAGGGCACTTCTAGCATAAAATGGTTTTGTAGAAATTAGCAATGCTTAATAAGATGAAAACTATGTACTTTAAATTCATTTTGCTTTGATTAGATTAAAAATTTATTTATTTTAATAAAGATGAAATTTTTAATAAAATCAGATTTTAATTCAACCAAGTATTTCCAATAGATTACTTCCTTTAATTCAAATATACTTAAAAACACAATTTCTTTCTTATTAAAGTTTCTCAAATTAAAAATTCTGATCAATATTAATTAATTTTACGGAAGAATATTATTGATTGATTGACACATAATTTTAATACCCAATTATCAAATTATAGCAAACTGTAATCTGAAATATTAATTTTTCTGATTTTTTTATATCATCAACACAAAAAAACCTGAATTTAATAAATTATGTAATTGATCTAATCTAAATCACTATTTTACTTTTTCTTTTTTCTACAATACTAATTTAAAAATTAGAATTTGCTGATCAATTACAAAGACAAGTTACTTAATTTACAAACCATATCAGAAACTAAAATATTTCAGTCAAATCTAAAAAATAATAATTTTTACAAATAAAAAAGTTCATTTTTTCTAAAAGCCAAAAGACTCATTTGTGATTGGTTATTTAACATCATTTTATTATTTCATCTTTATTAATAAATCTATAAACATCTAAATATCAAACGCTTATTAAGTCTTTTATTTATCACTAAAAATATTAAAATTAGAAAATTAAATTAATTTAAAATTAGGGTGATTTAAAATATTTTTGAAATGATTTTTATTTGCATTTACATTGAAATTTATTGCTAAGAAAGAAAGTCTGATTCTTACAAATATATTAAAAATTTAATAAGCTTTTATTAAAATTGGATTTGATCAAATTTAATTAAAAAGCTGAGGAAATGCAATTAATTTTTTTTCGATAAAATAAATCACATAAATTTAATCGATTTCATTTGCTTTATAGCTTTGAATGCCTTTTTGCATTTACTTTTATTTCAAATATTTATAGAAAATAAATTAATAATTAATACAAGCCCTTGATTATTTTAAATAAAAAGTTCTTAAAAATCTATTTTAGGTTTATTAAAAAATTTTATGATCCAATCAATAACAAGAAAAAATACAAGTAATTTTTTTAAGTAAAATATGCAGTTTTAAAATATTAAAGAATTAATTTCATTTTTTTTGTAAATTAAATTTTCATCTATTAATTGAGATAGATTATCTTAACTTGTTTATCGTAGATAAATATATTAAAATAATTCTTATCATTTTGATGTAGAATTATTTTCTTAATTTTTTTAACTAATTAAATTAAAAATAAATTTAGTGATTAATTTATAAATTTGAAAAAAGTAGTTATATAATTATGATAGTGAATTAGTTATTTAAACATTTAATGTTTTCAAATTTTAAATTAGTAATTATTTAAATTATTATACATCATAAACAATCCTATATAATTGTACAACCAAAGTAGTAGAATATTAATATATATTATATAATTTAATATGGAGTTAGTCTCTTAATTAAAATCAAGTATTACAGAATCAACCAAAAACCCTATAGATAAAATTATTTCTCTTTTAAGATTTTTTATCAATTATGTTTTTATAAAATTTTTCTAATTATTTGTATTATATAATGATGTTGTCAAATCTAAAAAAAACAAATAAAAGAGAATAATCAATTTTTTATTTATTGTTAAATAAAATTCTTATCTTCTATGAAATCAATTTACTTGTCTAAGATTTGTTATATTCACTTATTTTCATCTATTTTTGGTATTTTGGGGGTTTTATGTAATTTCTTCCTTTTAATATTAATGTTACAAGATAACATTATCTTTTACGTTATTCTTATGTTTTTTTATGTATGGATCAATAAATTAGTGTTTATTTGGCTTCTTCTTAATATATTTTATTTTTAATTTTTTAAATTAAAGTTTTTTTATAATTAACAGAATTATAGTAAATAACTAATATAATACAATTTTTAATTGTTAATAAATGATACTTTAAAACTAACCAAAACAAATATCTTAAATTTGTTTAATTGACTAATTTATAATATTAATATAAATAAACTATAAAAACTTTGAGATACATAAATTATATTTGTAAAATCATTAATTATTATTTTGTTTAAACTAATTCCTCAAAATTCTGTACATATATATGAATGAATGCAAGTATTTTTTAAAAGCTGCTTTTGTTCATTTATTTGTGTTTACTGGTTTTTACATCAATTAAATTAATTAATATTAAATTAAGAGATCTAGCATAAAATAAATTAGAAAGGAGAGAATGAAAGTAGAATTAAAAGATGAAATTAACTCTTAAATAAAGTAAAAATACAGCTCAAGACTAAGCTATGCCAAAAAATATTATCTAGTTAACTAATTAATCATTCATTTGTATTTAATAGCCTTGGCATTTATTTGCTTCACTCGACTAAGCTAATAATTATTAGGATCATTTATTATTATAAAATTAGCCATATTTTCATATATTAAGTATTTGAATGAACATATTTCAAGTAAAAAAGGAAACTAAAAGCAAGAAAATCATGAAAAATCAAAAGCTTCTTAATTAGGATAAGAAAATGAAAAATAAATTTAAAGTCTATCATTTTTAGAGCTATGCATCTTTTTAATAATATTTGCAATCTACATTTCTACTTTTGAAGTGATTTTAATAATAACTTCAAACAAACAGTTAGTTATTGTTTTATCGATGTTTATTTAGTCTTTTGTAAGAATAGAAATAAAAAATATTTAAAATGAAAGGTTAATCTTATTTTCTGTTTTGGCTATTTAAATCTATTCTATAGTTCGCCTTTAGTTTGCTTACGAATTTCATTATTTGAATACATTTTTCAATATATTATTATTCCTTTAGTAGATTTTAAACTATAGAACACTTAAACAAGAAAACCAAAAAGTAATAATTCAAAAAATTAATAACAATAAAAATACCTTAGCAAATTTGCATCAAAGCATCTTGTAAGTTATCCCAGAAGGATTAGCTGTAATTAATGCGGATAAATAAATACTTTATTCCAACTTGGCTCTTAAGCAAATACTTAACTCTAAAAATAATAAAGATTTGCTATAAGTTATGTTGAAATTAGGTTAAGGGACTACAAATGAAAAATTAGACCAGCAATAATTATAAGTAAATGCTCTTAAACCCAATAATTATTATCCAACTGATAATTAAAAGGTGATTGATATCACAAATAATAACTCACCGTAGAACAACTAAATTACTTTCAACAATATTTAAGATGAAACTTATAAGATAAATAAATATGAAAACAATTAGAATACTTAAACCAACGATAAGCTAAAAAACTCTTTAAGTAATTCATGGTTTAACAAAAAGTTTGAAAAATCTGTAACAGATGCATTTCAACATAACAAAAAACTAAAAAAGACTAAGAAAAGTAAAAAATATTTATATAGCCTTTCTGAAAAAGTTGGATAAATTAGTGAAAATAAAGTATTCAATGAGAGAAAATTCTATTCTATGAACTAAAATATTTGCAAATTTTCTTTTTAAAATTAGCATGTAAATTATTTATTTTAAAAAAAGAAATAATTTTTAAACAAAACTATTATTTGAAATATAATTTTAGTGATTTTTTAAATAGAGGGATATATTTCATTTTAAAATTTCAAAAATACATTCTTAATAAATGTCATAGAAATTTGAATGTATTTTTTTTTAAAATAGCTTTTATGAATCAATCCCCCATAATCAATATTTTCTAGAAAAAAATTTACTTTTAATTAATTTCACTGTCTATAAATTTATTAAAATTTCTTTTTAAAATATATGAAATACTAATTTATTATAAATCATAATTAACATAGGACTAGAGTTAAAACTAAAAAAAATAAAAGCAAGAAGAAATGGTTTAATAAGGAGGAGTAGAAAATCAATAATTTGATTTAAAATAAAAATAAATTTAGCCTAATAAAGCTTTTTAGGAAAATTAAGGTTAATAAATTAAAATAAACATATTGTTTAAAGATTAATAAGAGCTTTATAATTTTTAAGATGAAGTAAAACTGAATGAAAAATGTAAAGAAAATAAATAAACTTAAAATATTATTCATGTAATTTTTTTAAATTAACAAGGCAATACACCAAAAGATATTAGCAAAGGGTTATTAAATTCTTCAGACAAAAGTAATTTAAGCAAAGCTTATAAAATTTAAGATGAAGTTACCACTAAAGACTAGAATTCTAAATTAAGTTAAAATATTAATGTTTAGGGCCATTAAATAATACTAAATTAGAACTAGTTCATTTAAGAAAAAATAAATGAAATTTAAGGTGAAAAAGACAATTACACTATTGTCACTGAACACATCAAAACTAATGAACCGCTATAAAATGAAGATGTAATAGAATACTCTAATGAAATATAATTCAAATACAAGAAACCGAGTAAAATCAATTCTTAATTCGAATTAATCTTCATATTAATAATCAAATCTTTTGTTAGGAAATATAATTAAAAATCAAATTGAGAAAGAAAAAATAGATTTATCTAAATTAATTGATTAATTCTTTGAGTAATCATCAGATGAAAATGAAATATTGGAATTAAATGGAGTATAAATTGAAGAAATCAATGACCTGAGAAATCAGTAATTTTAATAATTTAAATAATTTAATGTAAAATTATTTTTTAAAAACAGAAAATCTCCTTAAAATTCTAATGAAATATGCTAAAATTTAAAAAATTTACAATAAATGAAGAATATTACTAAATTTTAAGTAAAATAAATTAATTCTTATTTTTTAAAAAAAAAGCTTTCTTTTTTTAAAGGTAAAACACAAAAATAAAGATTTAGTTATTTAGCTTATTGCAGTTGATTTATTACTAGAAGATAAAAAAACTTTAGAACCTGTTGTATTTATAATAGTACAGGAGCTTTGGTAGGATCTATATTAAAAAAAGGTAGATGAGCTCCAAAAAGAAAAAATGAAGATATTTGCAACCTTATCGCATGAGCTAAGGACTCCTTTGAATTGCTCTATTTCCATGCTCGAAGTACTCAAAGATGAACTCTCTTAAGAAGAATAAAACAAATTTTGTATTGAAGAATATATTGTCCCAGCTCTTTTTTCTAATAAGCTGCTTCTAAACTAAATTAATGACATTCTTGACTATGTTTAAATGGATTGTGGTAAGTTTAAATATTCGTTTTTAGATTTCAACGTAGTTAGTCTTTTAAAGGATTGCTGCAAGCTTATAAGCATGCAAGCTAAAATGAAGAATTTACAACTTCTGATACTTTATGATTAAAAAATAAACTAAGAAATATGCTCAGATTAAAATAGAATTCGTTAAATTTTACTCAATTTTCTTTCTAATTCTCTCAAATTCACTAAATCTGGATACATAGAATTGGGATTCAACTAAATATGTTAGAATATATATTAATTGTATGTTAAGGATAGTGGTATTGGAATTTCTAAAGAAAATTAAAAAAAGATATTTGATTTTTGTAACAAAGTAATTTTATTAACAAAATTTTATACACAATCTTAAAATAAACTAAGATTTGTTAAAAACCATTTATTTATTAATTTCTAATAAATAGATTTAATATGAAAATAAAGAAGAGGAATAACTTAATAATCAAGGTTGTGGTTTAGGATTACTTATATCTAATTCTCTGGCAAAAGGCTTAGTAACTGATAAAACACGTAATGGAGGAATATCTGTTGAATCAGAATACGGAATAGGTTCTAAATTTAGCATTTTAGTTGAAGATTTAAATTATAATATGCACAAATGTAATGAATAGCAAAATATTTAAAACTAAACTGTCAAATTTTCATAGAAAACAGTAGACATTTTAAGTATTCCTTAGAAGAATAGGCAAGTTGAGTAAAAACATAATCTTTAAAATAGCTAAATTGATGAATAAAATTTGGAGTAAACTGCAAATTCTTCAATTAATCTTCATGATAACAACCTTAGCTAATTATAAAAATAAAACAACTCCTTTTAGACTTTTTTTAAAGATGCTAGTATGATAAATTGTGAGAAAGTAAATAATAGCACCATAAGTAATCCTAAAAATATAGAAATTAGCTAAACAGTTAATAGGAATAAATTTTACAAGAGTAATTCTAATTAAAGTTCTACCTAAGCTATTGACGATTCTCTAAATTAAGATTTACATAATAATTTAAGTAAAGTATTTTAGATTAAAAAACATAAAAATTTTTAGGAAGAGGATAATTCTAATTTTAAAACTGTAATTCAGAAGTCTCAAAAAAGCGTGCCTTAGAAACATTAAAATAGCAATTTCAGTCCTTTTTCAAGTCCAATTTTTTAAAAGCGATAATTAAATATAGAACAAAATAATCAATATAGAGTTGAACTGTTAAAGCATTCATAAAATCAAAACACATACTAAGACAATTTAAGTCAATATAGGAAAGTAGGGAGTTAAATGTATGGAATTAGTATGCATGATAATGGTTTAAATAACTCTGAAAATGGAATTAACTCAGATTTTGAAATAAGAAATGGTGTTTAAGATTAAGGAAACTATAAAAACAAAGTAAAATTTAGCTAGAATAATTACTATACAAATAATCAAATTAAATCTCTTCAGAGTTCTAAACTGCAATTTGATAAAGAAGAAAATGCATAATGTGAATAAGAAGGATTTACTTCTTATTCTAATAACTCAAAAATATTAAGAGGCCAGTTTCTTTCTAATCAGAAATTAACAACTTCTACAATAGGAAAGGATTAATTCGAAAAAACAATCAGTTTTAAGTCACATTCTAGTTAGAATTAAATTTTAGACATTGAAAGTAATGGAGACCAAAATAAATGTGAAAAATTACTTACAGTATAGTAAAAATTAGAGCATATATTGGATTATAATTTAGATAAAAAATTAAGATGTAAATGTCCATAAATAATGCTAGTTGATGATAATTAATTCAACTTATATGCCTTGTAGAAAATTATTTAGTAGTTTTAATTTGATTTGATTACATTTTCAGATGGAGACTAAGCCATAGAATATATTAAATCTTAATTCTTTTCAGAATGCTGTTGTTCACCCTAAATGATCTTGATGGACATAGAAATGCCCATTAAAAATGGATATGAAACAGTCAAAGAAATAATTTAATTTTACAAGAGTTTACAATATAGCAATATCCCTGTAATTGTTGCGTGTACTGCATATGTAGGGTAGGAAGATTTTTAAAAATCAATTGAATCTGGTATGAGTGATTTTATTAATAAACCTATATTAAAAGCAGCTTTCTAAAATCTAATTTTAAATCATATAAATGCAATTTGTAATAATAATTGAATTTATCTTCTGTATCATGTAAAAACTTACCTTAAATTGTCTTATAAATTTTAATAAAAATCAATAATTTTTTTCAAATTTTGAACGAATTTTATTTAAATAAATCTTCTTTATATAAATTTATTAAAATGAAGATTAATTAGAATAATTAAAGTAATTATTTTGTGATTATTAAAATTTATCATTTTTAATTTTAGGTGGTAAAGGTGACTATAAATTCTGAATAAATAAATCAATCAATCAAAATTTTAATTTTATATTATTTACTAATTTATTTAGAATAGAATATTTGAATATATTTTGTTAAAAAGTAAAATCAATTCAATTTATATAAAAAATAAATCTAAACTAAATAACATAAATGATCATAAGTTTTAAAATAGAATTGTTTTTTGTTATTTTAAATCGCCAAGTGAGAGATTGTTATTTGTAAGCTTAATCTTTTCCATAAGAGTTTGAAAGAGGTGAATTATTATTTTAATAAAGATTAACGATATTGATATAATAGAAGTTGCTGATAAGATATTTTTTATCTCAACTGAAAAGTTGTTAAGGATGTCATCATAAACTAACCATGTAATAGAAAATAAAGCAATCAAGAAATTTATATGAGTGAAGATTTATGTTTAGTTCATCTTTGCTTATAAATAAGGTCTTTTTATTATTATAATTATAGTTTCAAAGGCAAATAAAAGTTATACTAAAATAATCTATTGTACTTTATTTTATTATGAGTTAACCAGCAAAAAAATAAAAACTATTTTCCTTACCAAAATAATGCCATTAAAGTAATAATATCTCTTTATGAAGTTAGAAATTGCAAATTATTAGATTTTATTTGAGATATTTTAGATAATTTTTTAAAATCTATTTTTGTGACCTTCTTGTTTGGCTTTATTTAATCCTGCAAGCACAACTAATATTTGAGTTACTAAAAATACTACTGCAAAAATTACTCCTATAGTAGTTGACTTAGCATTATTTTAATATTATATCTCATTAAACTAAAGCCAAATACATAATGTTATTTCATAAAATGTTAATATGACTATCCCAGAAGCTATTTTGAAAAAGAAATTTGTGTAAATTTTGATCATTAGATAATCAACAAATTTAATTGTTCTGATTTTTAGTTTTTAATAAGCAAAGCTCAGTAAATAGAATACAAAGAATATTACCCAAATTATTACAGTCTGTATTAAATTGCTAAATAAAAATGAGTCCACTTGTTCTCTTTAAAATGTTAAAGGAACAGCAGCATTTTTAGCGCTTACATTAGGGAAAAACTCGAAATTAGCAAAATTGAAGAGATTTAAAAAAACATAAAGTTCTTTTGGATAATTTACATTTAAGAACTTCAGATAATTAACTGATTACAAAAGGTCAAAAAGTGTTACAATTATATTGAATGGTACAAAAAATAGCATGAAGTAGCTTAAAAATCCCAAGAAAGAATTCAAAAAAGTGATTGTAAAAGCATTGTTTCCATAAATATCTTAAGCTAATAAATCAATATGCGGAAGCTAAGAGCTGATTGATTTCTTTAAAAGTGAACTATTAAATTTGTCAGTAATGTCCGATTATTTGAATTTTAAAAAAACAGTTATATTGTTGAGAGGTTTATAAACCCTAATTTATAGTTCAATATTTTGTATCATCAAAGTGTTTAATACTAAATTCTCCTTAAAAATTTTGATATCATAGTCTAGAGAGTTTTCAACATCCAAGTAACTTATTATATTTTAAGTACTTGATATTGATATTTATCTATCAAAATATATTTCTCCTCGAATTTGATAATAGTTTTTTTAGCTAGTGTATTGTGCTTCTAGCTTCAAAAAAGGAGTAGGACCATCAGTTAAGGTTGTGCAAAGAGATTAGCTTATCAAATTTTCATCTTCTTTATATATTTTATAATATTAAATGTTTTTTAATAATCTAAAATAGGGAAATTATTTTTTACTTTAAAATTGTTACATTTATATTGATAAATGAAAAATTTAACACATTTTAAAAAAGAAAGAAAATTTGATTTTAGTATTAAAGAAGTTATATTTTATGATTTACTTTTATTAAAATTAAATCAATATCATTTTATTTGGAATATTGAATTAAATTAGCTCTAAATTTATCTTCTATAAATAATATTGATGAATTTAAATATTTTTAAAAATAGTTTTCTTATTTATTTAATTCGTATAAGTAATAAATTAAATTACTGATCAGTGGATTTACACATTTAAAACCATGTTCTATCTTGCAATTCTAAGAGCATCCATCGTTATCCTAAATATTACTATCATCACATTCAATTGTTTTATTTATTCCATACAGCTTTAAATGCTTATCAGTAAGCATATATCCTTTTCCACATAATTCTTGACATTTCTATGTCTATGAATCAAAATACAATCCTATTAATTTATCACATTTTTAGCAACTACCATTCACAAGCAAAATAAATTTATCATCAGGACAAGACAAACAATCTACTGCTTGAGGTCCTTTACAAGTATTACAAGAGGAATGACAATTTTAACATTAATTTGATTATGTATCTAAAAAATAATTATTTTCACAAATTTTACAGATTTCTACATTATTAACAATTTCACATCTATTACAATTTGCTGATTAGCATTTAAAGCATTAAGTTGGTTAAAAGTTAATCATGTTGTTTTAACCTTTAACCTATTAGCATCCATAGCCAGGCATAATTTAACAATTATTACTACAGCCTATACCTGGAGGATCACACTCTTCACTGGGAGTTGCAATATTATCTCCGCACTTTTCTTCACATTTTAAGTCGCTTTAACTTAAAGATTATGAGCATTAATAGCCTTTATTTACCTTACAATCTAAGCTACATTTGTCTAATTGTACTTTATTTTGAAAAATTAAAGAAAAAAAAATTAATCTTTTTTTAATAAAATTACTTAAATTTCCATCATCGCATTCTTCTCCTGAGTCTAATATTCCATTTTAGCAAGTTGATAGCATGCAAACATCAAGCTAAATGTTATCCACATGTATACATTTATACCCAGGTTATACCTTACATTAAACACACCCTTGGGAATTACTGAATGCAGTCAAATCATTAATTTCACATTCTTCTTCTGGTGTTTTATGATTATCCCCACAAACTGGTATACATTAGTTTGTAGTGATATCATAACTGTAATAATTATTTTAGCAGGTACATTATTTTGAAGTTATATTTAAAACTACGTTTGAATTTTTATAGCAGCTGGAGCAGTTATTTGCAGTTGGCCCACTACAAGTTTTACAAGAAAAATGACATTTTTCACATTTATTTGAGTTATTATTCATATAAAAACCATCCTAACATTAGCTACAAGTTTCATCATATGTACTATAAACAGAATTATATGTTTTTGTGCATCTAAGGCAGTTTATGTCTTAACACTTGAAGCATTTTTCCACTTCAAGGTTAGTAGCTAAGCTATTTTCCAAATAGCATCCATAATTACTAATAATTTTACAATCAGATGAACATCCAACATCAGCTGAGTCGCATTCTTCATCATTCGATTTAATTCTATCCCCACAAGTAGATTAGCATTTAAATTTACTGCTACCAATGTCTTAGATACATGAATAGCCTTTCTATATTTTACAGTTTAGTGAACAAGCATCGCTATTAACTTTTAGTTAGAATTAAAATAAATTTAATTTCCATACAAAATATAACATAATTACTTTAATTTCCATCATCACATTCTTCATCTTAATCTCTAATACCATCTCCACATTTAAGTGTAGTACATATGTCTAAATCAAATTCCTTGCTACTAAAGCATTTATAACCACTTTAAATTTTGCAGTTAACGCATTTTGAATTTTCAAATAGAGAAGGATCTTAAATTTCACACTCTTCTTCAGGAGCTTTGTACATATCATGACAAATAGGCGAACAAATTTATTAATTTGCATCATATTTGTAATATTAACTGTTACAGACACAAGTGTTTGAATTTTAATCAAGAATTACTCTTTGGTCTTTATGATCAAAACAAGACTTACATTAGTTAGGAGATGATCCAAAGCATGTTTGGCAAGATTGATCACAAGCCAAACATTTTTTCAAATTAGTATCATAGAAATAATTTTCTTTACAGAGTAGGCATATTTGCTGAATAGGGTCTATTTTAGAACATTTCATGCAAAATGGGTCATCACATTAAAAGCAATTAGAAGTCTGAAGATATTCATTATATTTTGTGAAGCTGCAACCAAAGTTTGTTTTAATTTTACAATTTAATTAATCACATCCTACATCATTACTATCACATTCTTCATCCTATGATACAAGATTATCTCCGCATATGCTACTGCATGTTGATTTTCCTGATTGAACTTAACAATTGAATCCTGTCTCTTACTTGCAGTCTAAAGAACACCCATCTCCATTAACTTTTTTGATTTATTTATTAATAAATTATCTATTATAAAATTAAAAAAATTTCTTATTACTGTTGTTCCCATCATCACATTGTTCTGAAGGATCTACCTTACCATCTCCGCATAAAGAACTAATACATATATCTAAGATATATGGATCTTGATGAAAACATTTGTATCCAGAAACAATTTTGCAATTCGAATCACAACCAAATACATTTTCAAAGCTACTATCGAATGTTTCACACTCTTCTTCAGGTGTTTTGAATTTATCCCCACAAATCGGTTTGCATCTTTATGTTGAAGACTCAAAAGAATAGTAAACAGATTTACAAGTGCATGTATTGTCAGAATTTAAGACTATATTAGAATCCTAGCTATTACATGATAAGCACTAATTTGGTTAACCTCCATTACAAGTCTAGCAAGACTAATCACAAGGCTAACAAATATTTGTTGCGTCTAAATATTTACCACTAACACACTACTAGCAATTAGGTATATTATTAATATCAAAATTACAAGTGTAACAAAGTGGATCAATACATGACAAACATTGAACTCTGCTATTATCAAGAGAAGTACCCTAAGGACATGATTATACACAAGAGCCATTGTATAAATAATATCCTGAAAAACATTATTAACAAATATTTTATGAAGCTTAATTGCAAATTAAGCATCCCTAGTCTTTACATTAGTTTCTGCATACCTAATTTTAATCATCTGCTTATAATCCTGAATCACAAGTATCAGTACATTGCATACTTATAGGATTCCAATATTATTTGATAGGAGTTTGTGAACAAGTAACACAATTATTTGTAGGTGAAAAATAGTAAGAATTTTAACATAAAAGGCATGAATTTTAATTACAAATCTTGCAATTAGGATAAGTAGATGAGCATGATACACATTGCTTATTTATCTAATCTTAGTATTACTCAGAAGGGCACTCTGTTACACATTTATTATTAAGTAAATAAAAACCATTATAGCAACTTAAACATAAGCTAGGATTTTCTGCATGGCAGCTTTCACAAGTATTTGCACACTTTAGTTAAAATAATAAAAAATAATGTTTTATAAAATAAAAATTAATAAATTATTTACTGAATAACCTCCAACAATGAAATCTCTAATACCTAGATCAAAATTTGACTAATTATCTATTATAACAGATAAATCAGTAGTAGCAGAATCTGCTAATACATAATTAAATTCGCCATATGCATCATTTTACTCAAAGCCACAAAGATTGAATGATGTTTTTTTTATGTACTGATTACTTGCAAGCTGTACAGAAACTCCATTAAGATTTACAATAATATTTGAAATAGGGTTTTTTTATGAATAATCTATCAAATAGAATTTAAAACCAATTTAAATAAATTTATGAGATTGTTATATTTTCACGTTTATCATAAATTTAGTTTAGTTTATACCAGATCTAAAACCACCAAGCAATTAAATATCTCCACAAATAGTATACATAGTGTTTAAACCTAAAAAAAAGAACCCATTATTATTAGAATTAAGATTTTATATAGAAAATCCCAATTATTTGATATGAAGAGATGAAAATCTCTAAATTTACAGACCTTCAAGAGCCACAAAACCGCCTATTTATTTAATTTTTTAAATTCTGATTACATATTAAAAATAAATATTTACTTGGAAGGCTTCTTATCATATCCTAGCAAATATTGTTATTTTAATCATAAAATAAAGGACACTTATCCACACAAATTCCATTCCAAACGAAATAATTTGGTTGGCATTATTGACAATCGTACCCATTTTATTGATAAACTAAACAAAATTGATCTCTTAAAACACAAACTTAATTTTTGTTTATTTTATTTTAAGGACAAGAAGAAACACAAATACCATTGTCAAATATGCTACTAGCTCCTACACATTATGGACATACTCCATTTGTTGGAATTACGTTATTGAAGCATAGTTTACATTAATTTTATTATGGACCTACGCAAGATAAACAGGAAAAATGACATTCATCAACAAAAACTTAAACTTATCCAATAGAGAAAGATTCATTTGAAATGTCTTCACATCCACTACCATTATTAATAAGTCCTAAGGGATTTCTATCACAATTAGTTTTGAAATCAATACTTAAATTAGAGTTAGCATCAGCCAGTGTGTATTCATCTTTTTGATTTAAATTTATAATAATGAAAAATTAAAATCATAATTAAATTAAAAGATTGATAAGTTCATATTAACCATATTTATTATGTAAATTAATTTTAAAGTTTAAGAGTAAATATGAATAAAATAAATTTCCTTGATTAAAAATATTAAAAATTCATGTTTACTCTTTAAAAAATAAGCAATATTTTTGAATTTAAAATAAAATGTTATTCAATAAAATTAATTTTTTTCAAGTAAATTTTATTTTTTGAAATTATTTTTTTTGAATAAAAAATTTTACTTCTCTACATATAATTGATCAATTATCCTTACACGCAAACTTTTTACCATTTTATCCTTGCCTTATTATGATCATAAGTCATGACAGATAAAGGCTGCTTTTATGAATTTACTATTACTGAGACTGTTTCAGTATCCCAAGTATTTATTATATAGAGATCTACTCTAAAATTGATCTAAAAATGTGGTGGAAGATTTGAAACATTTAAAGTATTAGCTATGCTTCCTCTACTTAGCTAGTAATTACCTAGCATCACTTAGTTAAATTCAGAATCCCTTTAGTTGCATACCATTTTAGTGTTAGGATATTTCCACGAGCTTAAAGGAAAAGCAGTGTCATCAGCTCTTTTATAAACTTAAATATCGCAAGCTGGTATTATAAATATATAAAAAAACGTTAACCGAGTCAAATAAACTACTAAAAAATTACTTGTTGATTAAATTCTTAAATTGAATAGAAAGATGACCAAAATAATTTTAAATCTGTTCATTATTTGTTTCTACTTTCTTGTCATTAATTCTGCTTTACTATGAATAATAATTTACTAGTACTTTTAATGTTTTAATTAAGGTTTTAATTAAGAAACTAATAAGAAATTTAGTAATAAAATATTGTAAGCTAATAATCTTAAAAAAACAAATGTAAATCACAAAATTTAATTTACATCTTACACAAATCACAAAATAAGTAATACAATTATTAATTCGAATTTATTCAAAGTTTTTCTTTGCTCATTTAATGATATCATCACAAAAAAAATTAAATTACACTAAATATCTTATTTAGAACTCATTATTTAATTTATTTTAAAGTTTAAAATGTCATTAAAGTTCATGATTACATTAATTTAAGTCAATCTAATTTTATTTTTAAATAACAAATACCATGAATTAAATTTTAAGAAAATACTTATTTACAGAAAACTTTTATTCAACTTGTATGGTAAATTAGAAATATATTTATCATATTAAAATAATTTAAATTAGTTAATTATTTTAATTTATTTAAATATTGTTATCATTTGTATCTCCAAAATTTAATTAGTTAATTTAATTTACATAATGAAATTTATACAAAAATAAATTCACGCATAGTTAAAGATAGAAATTTCCACATTACAATAATTGATTATAATATAGCTTTTCCCTTTTCCTGTTAATTTTTTTCTACTAAATAATTTATCCTCTATTATAAAATGGTAATGAATGAAGTTATTTGCTTTGACATAATTAGATATGATAATATGTAAAACTTAACTTCATAAACATATAGAAACATAATTTATTTCATAAATTTAGCCCAAAAAATTATATGCTGAATGTTCTTTTGATGTCATATGATAATCAAAGTGTTTTGATTAAAATTCACTTTGATAATTATTTCTTCTTAGTTTTTGAAAGATAACTTCTATTTAAATAATAAATAAATACAAAAAATGAATATTTGTAGGCTTACATAAAACTACATTTAGATGCTGCTTCCATATTTATGAATTAATTAAATTTTCAAAATTATGATTTGAGTGAAATTAAAAAAAATTTTTTATTTTGTTTTATTCTATTTATTTTATCAATAAAATAATTGAATATAATTTTAATTTGTAACTGTTTATTAAAAAATAATTCCAGTTGAAAATTTTTCTTTTTTATAATAAAAGTAGTAATATGAGAAATAGGTTTTGGAGATTATTTAAAATGCAAATGATTTAAGTAAAAAAATCTTAAATTTCTTTCTAATTAAATATTAAATACTTGAGAAACATTGAATTGGGTAAAATAATTTGATTGATTATTAAAGAATTTTTTGTTAATTATTTTCACATCACACTCTGTTTCGAGTATTTTAAATTAATTAAATTCTAGCTTTGTTACATTAGTCAAACAAATCCTTCATTTCTAATAAAACTTTAGTCAGTTTAATTTATTTTTATTGAATAATCTTTTATTACTGAAGATAATTTCTTATTTATATGACTATATGTTTGATTTAAAATTTTTAATATACCTAGAATTTCTAATACAAAAATACTAAGCTAAATACTACTTTTATAAGTTTAATTTTGGGTTTTCTTTAATTAGATTCTATTGATAAGCATATTAATTTTTTTATAAATCATAGATATATACTTATAATATTTAAATAAAGTAATCTAACATAAATTTCAATGGTAAAAAAACAATAGAATTTTATATTTATTATAGTAGTAAGTAGTATATAAATACATCTTTTAGCTTTCAGATATTTAAATTTTTAAAAATAATTTTCATATTTAATATTCTATATTCAATTCATAAAATTTAATTAAATTTTAAAATTAACAAAATAGAAACAAAAAGAGATATTTTTAAGTTCATTTACCATTCTATTTATTATAAATTATAATACCTTTTTTATAGTTAAGAATATTTATTTTCGAATTGTAAACAGTAAAAAATAATAAAAAAGTTTCTGCAAATTTGTTAAATATGACTAAGTCGTGTAAAATTTAATGTCAAAAAATAATAAAACTATTGAACATACTAAATTAAATTAAAAATATAAAATCATTTGAAATCCCACTTTATATAATATCATAATTAGTGATATTTCAAATGCAATTACAGTTATTTTTGAATAAAATTATTTATTCAAAATTAAAAACTTTGTATAATTATTTACTATTCTTTTGCTAGTTATTTGGAAGGATTGAGATATTTAGTTTTTTTTATTTAATATTAATTAGAATATTTTGAATCTATAAATATATTAATTGACAGAATCTTTGATTTGATTTGATTTGATTTTATATCTTCTTATTCAATGAGAAATCAAAGATTTTCTTTATTAATTTATATTTTCATAAAAATATTTTAAATCATTTAAAAAGTTAAAAAAAATAAAATAAATAATTTTATTTTAAACCTTTTATTGCTTTAAAGTTAAAAAAAGGTTGTCGACACTGGGACTTCCCAAGCGGTCCCCCACCTTAGTACTAACCCAGCCTTAAGGCGCTTAACTTCGGAGTTCGAATGGGATCCGGTGTTTTCACCTTAGTATGGCCGACAACAAAACTAATACCAGTTAATAACTATTTATACTTAAAAATTTTTTTAATCAAGAAATTTATTTATTTTAAAGATATTAAATAATCAATAATTTAAAAATAGAATTTTTAAAAATTAAACTATATAAAAAAAAGGTTGTCGACACTGGGACTTCCCAAGCGGTCCCCCACCTTAGTACTAACCCAGCCTTAAGGCGCTTAACTTCGGAGTTCGAATGGGATCCGGTGTTTTCACCTTAGTATGGCCGACAACAAAATTAATTTCTCAGATATCTATTTATGATAGTGATTTTGATTTTAAAAAGTAAAATTTATTTTCTTAAAATCAGCATCACTGACAAAATAATTTTTTGTAAAATAAATAGTAATAATAACTGTAATTTAAAAGATAAAATAAAAATAATAAATAACTTTAATCATAAAAAAAATCATTTAAAATAATTGGATTGGAAGAAATAAATAAAAAATGATAAAATAATTTAAAAAGTTATTTTTAATCTGATTTTTAGAATCATTCAAATAATTAATTGATAATATTCTAAATTTTATTTAATAATATATTAGTTATGCGATTTTTTGGAATGAAAATATATTTTTCAAATTATTATAAAATATTTGAAATATAATTGATCAAATTTATTTGTAAACTTACAAATATTTTGAAATCAATAAATATGTTTGTATTTAATAATCTTTAAAATTAGCAAAGCTTAATCACAATATAAAAAATATATTTTTCTTAATTATTTTTTATATCTGTTTTCACCTTAGTATGGCTGACAACAAAATTAATAATCGTAAATAACTGCTAAATAAATGATGTTTTGTTTATAATATGAAATAAATAAATTAGTTAAAATTATAGCTATTTAGATTATTAAAAATAATTTTAATAAAAACAAAAGGTTGTCGACACTGGGACTTCCCAAGCGGTCCCCCACCTTAGTACTAACCCAGCCTTAAGGCGCTTAACTTCGGAGTTCGAATGGGATCCGGTGTTTTCACCTTAGTATGGCCGACAACAAAACTAATATCAGTTTATAACTATTTATACTTAAACATATTTTTAATCAAGAAATTTATTTATTTTAAAGCTATTATATTTTCAATAGTATAAAAATAGAATTTTTTTAAATTAAACTATATAAAAAAAAAGGTTGTCGACACTGGGACTTCCCAAGCGGTCCCCCACCTTAGTACTAACCCAGCCTTAAGGCGCTTAACTTCGGAGTTCGAATGGGATCCGGTGTTTTCACCTTAGTATGGCCGACAACAAAATTAAAGATAATTATTAGCTATTTATTATTCAATATATTGTTAAATATTAAAACATTATTTTTATATGAATTTATAATTAAATCACAATATAAATCATTCATTTTAAATTACAGAATTTTTATATATTTATTTAATAAAATAATAAAAACAAATCAAATTTCATTTTTACATTTTATTAGCTTACTGCTTTGCAATATGTTTAATTAACTCAAAATTCTTGGTTCCAGTATGTTATACCATTAAATAAAAGTGTCCTTATTCATTTTAAAGTAATTCATAAGGAGTTCCTTACTCAATTACTTATCCTTAATCCATAACTATAACTTAGTCATAATCAGCTATTGTGTTTAATCTATGAGCAATAGTGATTAAAGTAGAATTTGCAAATCTTTATCTTATTTTTTGTTATATCAATTCATCAGTCTACATATCTACATTTGCTGTAGCTTCATCAAGGACAATCAGTTAGCTCTACTTCAGTATAGCTCTACCTAAGCAAATTAATTATTTCTATCCTGTGCTAAACACATCATTTGCATTACTCATATCTTCATGAATATTTTTTTCTAAAGAATTGACTTTTTCTTTTTTAATAATTTATTAAAAATGTTAATAAAAAAATGTAAAAACTTTAAATAAAATAATTTATACTTAGTAAATCAATATCCTCAAGAACTTTGTAGATCTCATCATCTGTATATTAATTGAGAGGGTCAAGGTTTCTTCTTATGGTCCCAGAAAATATAAAAGGAGTTTAAGGTATAATACTTATGCCTGATCTTAAAGTGTGTAAACCTAAGTTTTTTATGCTATGACCATCTATTTAAATATCACAATTTAAGTAATTGCTTAATTAATTTTCATATTCTAATTCGGTCATTCTAAATAGTGCCTAGATAACAGAAGATTTACCTGCTCCAGTTCTACCTACAAATCCTACCCTTTTCCCAGGCTATATTTTGAATGTTAAATCCTTAATAACTAAATCAAGTTCTTTTCTATATTTCATTCTAACATTTTGAAAAACAAGTTCCCCTCTTGCAGGGAATTTCTAATGCTTACTAGTTTTAATTAAACTATCATCATAATTTGTCTTCAATTCAGCTTCAGGTTCTAATTTAGAAAGATTCATACATCTTTAAGTGTTAGTCATTGATACATCTAAGTTTACCAATTATCTATAAAAAAGTAAA